TGGAAAGGTCGAGGCAGGGGTCCTAGAGAAATGCAGCTCCTGGTTAGAAGCACCAGAGGTTAGGATTCCTTTTCAATGATGTTTAGTTTCTGGACTTTGAGTCTATGAACGCGACCTGATGCAGAGAATGAGCCACAAGGAGCCGCTTTAACTTGGCTCCCACACGGGATTCTTGAAGATCTTCATACAGCACAGCATCCCTGCAGGAACAGGAAAACAAGGTTATCACAAAGGTGAAGGCACTGATGGTAAATTCAGTCCTTGCAGGCATAGAACTTTCTCAATCCATCGAGGCTCCCCAAAGATCGTGTTATGGAATAGAGGAGAGGAAGTTAAAATGAGACGTGACCTTCCAGGTCTCACGTTAACCCTGTAGAGCATCCAACTGTTGTCGAGGTCTGAGCATTGGCCAGGGTTGGGGAGTGGAACCTCAGACCCACCATATTCTTGAGCCTGGCAGCTGGGAAAAGGGAATAGGAAGTCACAGCTGTCTCATCCTGCTCAATTTTACTGCCCTTTGTATTGGAGAAGGTGCAAATCATTTCAGAGCAGTCACTATCTTGCTTCTCTTCTTCATTTCTTTTCTGTCCTTTTCTTTCCATTTTTCTCCTTTTCTTTTTCCCCAAGGGAAGAGAAGAAAACTAAACAAAAGGGTTTGGGCCAGATAGTTCAAAATAGAAACAAGATGGCAGGGAACACATTCTTACAACTTTATTGCACTAGTGCAATGCATGAGGCCAGGATGAAACCACTGAGGTGTTAGGGTTAGACTAAGGAACCCTGCAACCAGCAACAGTGTTTCCTCAGGTGCTGGAGAGCAGAGGTGTGGCCTGTCTTTTCGGGAGCACAGCATGGATTGAAAACCCTGAACCTAGGCCAGGGCGGGCAGGGCATTCAGCACAGGTGAGCGACTGACTCTTATATGAACCCCGAGAGGAAGCAGCATGATCCTCGTGTTTCCGGTGAGGAGACCGTGAGGAGACGTAGTCACCTCCTCAGGCCACCATGCTAGTTGGCATTGAGGACAGGCTGGGCGCCTCCCGCCTCTGTCCGGCAGGTGTGCTCAGCCTTGCCAGGTGTGCTCAGCCTTGCCAGGTTGTTACACTCTTTCCAAGACATTGCAACATTATTGCTATCAAGTAACAGTGAGATAAAGAAGACAGCACTGCAAGCTACCACAACCAGGGGCTAGGTTCCTTCTAAATAATTTGGGAGCGAGAAGCTTGTGGGCCATGGAGCTCTGGGAAGCTTCCAGAGCGTCAGGCTTGAGGTGGGTCTCCATCAGCGTTGAGTGGGTGGGGAAGAGCCATGGGGAATGGCACAGACAAGGTATGGGGTGGGGGAGGCACAGGTGTTTTTGAGGGCTGAGGGTCTGTTCACATGGTGGAGACGTGGGGGATGTGGCTGGAAAGTGAGGCGCCAGGAACTTAGTCTGGCGGGAGGCAGTTTTCTGCAAGCAGAGGGGAGGGAGCCAGCGAAGGTTTCAGAAGGATGGTGAAAGCAGAGCAGGTGGCTTCCACACTCCAGTCGGGAAGTACAGACTGGGGGCTCCAGGGATGGCCCTGTCCAACCTCTCAGCCTCAGAGGAGGATGGAGCCGGAAAGGAGGAATGCTTCTCCAGGTCCCGCAGCCAGGGAAGTGCTGTGGGCCCCATGCTCTCTTCAGCTCCCCACCAGGGGCCACTAGCCCTTTGTGGCTTTTTTGATTAACATTAATTAAAATGAAATGAAAATGTCTGTTTCTCAGTCACCCTGGCCACATTCACTTGTTCCACCATCACTTGTGCCGGTGACTACTGTCAGGATGTGCCAGGTCTAGGACATTCCCATCGCTGCCGAAAGTTGCGCTGCTTCTCCTGTGGCTGCTTCTGCCACGTGGCCTTAAAGGAAACCCACGCTACAGGGGGGCTGGGCATTGCCTGCCCCAGGACCCTGGTCGGAGTCCCCCCTGGTGGCTCCCTGGGCCTCAGTCACGGCCCCTGAGCAGCTTCCAGCATCCCAAAGGCTCTGCCCTGGGTCCAAGGTCATTCCTCGGTTGCTCCCTGCTTCCTTTCCTCCTCTGCTCCCTGCCCCCTGCTTGTGCCCTTGGCAATGCCCTGCCCCAGTTCCTGCCCCGGAGCCGCTGGCCAGAAATGGCTGAGGCTTGCAGCTGGAGGAAGTGGGCCTGGGCTGATGAGGTGGCACCACTTTGTCCTGGAACGTCCCGCCCCTTGGCCTGGGTCCCTCTTGGGAAACAGGCGAGGTTCGAAAGGTGAGTTTTTAGAACTGTTCAATGGCAAGCTGTCACAGTTGTGTGTACCCTGGAGCTCATCCCACCATGGAAACCTCTGGAATGTCTGTCTCCGCAGTCCTCGGCGAGTGGCCCCAATAGTGGCGATGTTTCAAACTTTTGGAATATTGTTTTTGGGAAATAAAGTGACTGCTGCTCACTTAGCTGTGCCAAGTCACTTGTTTGTCTTATTCTTTTTGCTCAGCAGGTGGCATTTTTGTTCAGTGATTTTATTTGTATCCGCCTGTGTTCATCAACTATGACATATTAATCATGCAAATTAGGATATGATTAATGAAGGAAAAATTAATTCCGCCACCGCGTCTGGGTCTGCTGTGACAGCTTAGTGAATGCCCTCAATCTCTAATGCCATCAGCGACTTCTCCAGGGCTGCTGCCGATTGATACATTAATGTTCAGGGTAAAGGTTAGGGACTGCAACCCAAAGAGACTTTCCTCTCCAGGGTTGGTGTTACAAGCACATATTTATTTGAGAGTGCACATTTTTGAGACAGTATATATTGCGAAACCCCGTCCTCCTTCGCACTGTGTTAGCAGTTTGTAGGAGGAGGGAGTTCGCTCTGTCTTTCAGTGTCTTCTAGACTGAAGCCCACTGTGACCAGGGCAAGCTCCCCGACCAACTCCGACTCTTTCTGTTTCCAAGGTTCCGGCTTCTTGTTTTCCAGATGCTATGTGCAGACCACGCAGTGACCCATTCGTCCTTGGTAAGTGCTCCTTCTCTTCAGGACTCTACTCTGGAAACATGAGCTAGGGCTACAATAAGTTTATCTTCATGATACAGAGTCCTACAGATAATTTAAATGAGCGCCCCACGTTGTTTTCTCCCATCGCCCTCTGGTTAACCCTGATTTCCACCCGGCACCTGTAGCTGAGCCGTGATCTGCTTACTCCTATTGGCTTTCACTCGTGTGCTCCGGTGAGCCAGGTCCACAAACAGAATGTTTTCTTGGAACTTGGATAACCTTGCCCTGTGCACCGTGGGAACACCCCCTGGGACAGATTGTGCCATTCTGGAGACTCTCTAGGTCACACCACCTCTGTCACAGGACTTGGCTGAACCTGAGAGAGTGAGTGGGCAGTGAAGGTAGGATACCAGGTGCCCCATCGGGGAGGGGACCAGGAGGGCATCTGGCCACCAGAGAACTTGGAATCGCAGCCTGTGTTCACCCTGGGCCAACTGTGGATCCAAGCCTGTCCAGGGATCGCAGTTTACCTCTGCCCCACCCTGAGGCCATGGAAGGGAGAGGCACAAGACCGGCAACTGAGAGTTTGCTAAATGACCTGCCTTCTCAAATCTCTTCACCCTTCCTTTGCTTGTTTTGTTTTTGTTTTTTCGAGATGGAGTCTCACTCTGTCACTTGGGCTGGAATGCAGTGTTATGATCTCGGCTCACGGCAACCTCCGCCTCCCAGGTTCAAGCGATTCTCTGCCTCAGCCTCCTGAGTAGCTGGGACTACAGGCCTGTGCCACCCACCATGCCCAGCTAATTTTTGTATTTTTAGTAGGTTTCACTATATTGGCCAGGCTGGTCTTGAACTCCTGACCTCAAGTGATCTACCCACCTCAGCCTCCAAAAATGCTGGGATTACAGGTGTGAGCCACCATGCCCAGCTTCTTCACCCTCCTTTTGATATTTTTGTGACTTCTATTGCTGAGATGCTCCGAGCCTGGGTCCCCACCTTGTGACCTCCCTCCTGTATAGACTCACCCTAATTCTTTCTTTCCCACTAGCATCCCACCCCTTCCCTCCCATTTCTATTTGTCCTGTGTCACCTGCCTTCAGGTGCCCCGAGACCTAACCCCAGACTGGGAGAGGGAGAGGATGCTGGGAGCTTGTCGTGGGCGCCGCAAAGCACCACAGACCAGCAGGTTAAACAACAGGAAGGACAACCGCACAGTTCTGGAGGCTGGAAGTCCGAGACGAGGTCAAGATCCGCAGTGTTGACTCCTTCGGAGGCGGTGAGGGAGAATTGGCCCCAGGCCTCTCTCCCTGGCAGACTGCTGGCCATCTTTGGTCCTTTGGCTTAGCAATGACCTTTTTCCGTGTCTTGTTCTTGGTCTTCCCTCCATAAGCACACCTTTCTCTCCACAGGGTATTCTTTTCATAAGGAGCAGTCAGATTAGGGGATGCATTCCTCCAGGATGACCTCTTCTTAGCTAATTACACCTGCATGGCCCTGTTTCCAAATAAGGTCACCTCCCGAGGTGCTGGAGGCCAGGGTTTCCTCATAAGAATGTGGAGAGGAGGAGACACAATTCAGCCCCAAACAGGGCAAAGGTCAACAAGGGGACAGCACCTGGTGACAGCAGCCCTCTGGCTCTGACAGCCCCCATTCCGCCCACCTGTAAGGGGCTCCTTCCATTGCGGGGTTGTGACTCTCATGGCAGCCCCTCCTCCTGCTGGAAAAAACTGTACTTATGGGGCCTGCGGTGTCTCTGACTCATGACACCTCCCACTGCACTTCTTTATTGTTTGTTTGTTTGTTTGAGACAGAGTCTCGCTGTGTCACCCAGCCCGGAGTGCAGTGGCAGGATCTCAGCTCACTGCAACCTCACACAACCTCCACCTCCTGGGCTCAAGTGATCCTCCTGCCTCAGCTTCCCAAGTAGCTGGGATTACAGGCACCCGCCACCATGCCCAGCTAATTTTTGTATTTTTAGTAAAAACAGGGTTTCACTATGTTGACCAATTGGTCTCAAACTCCTGACCTCAGGTGATCTGCCCACCTTGGCCTTCAAAGTGCTGGGATTACAGGCGTGAGCCACCGTGCCCGGCCACCTCCCTGCTGCAGTTCTAAGGAGCTGGAAGTTTGGGTAGGGGTGGCCCCAGCTGCTACCCCCTCCCTGGAGAGTTTTGAGACTCTGGAAGACACAGGCCGTGGCTGCACAATGGAAATAAACCATGTCACAGTCATCTTACCTTTGTTACCTGGGAAAAGCGTGCATCAGCGAGTGTCCCTTCTTGGGTGTAAATAGAAGAAATCCAACCCAATTCATGTTGGTAGCAGGGGAAATTTATTGGAAAATTGATGCAACTCCAGGGAAGGCAGGGACACAGCTGCCTTCAGAAACAGCAGGGCCTCTCTTCCCCTCCCTATCCTTGCTGTCACCAGAGGTGGCTGGGGGACTCTTTAAGGAATTTTGAATCTTCAGGTTGAGTTCCTTCCGTGTTCTTTAGGATAGAGACTGGAACAGCACCGAATTACCCCCCGGGTGTTAGAACAACACCCCGACATTTGCATCCATCTTGAGTGGAGGGGGCCTCTGCTGATCAACCTGCCCACTCAAGTTTTTCAGCTAGCCTCTCATGGAGCCGGACAGTGTTGCTAATGGGATCCTGACACCTGTTATGGATTGAATGTTTGTGTCCTCCCAAAGTTCTTTTGAAACCCACGGTGGTGGTGCTAGGAGGTGGGAACTCTGGGAAGTGATTGGGTCAAGAGGGTGGAGCTCTCACATTCTCCTCAGCACCTGGGAGACACTGAACGACCGGCTCCCAGGGCCCTTTACTCACCGCCTTTCAGGTTACTGCCGGGACATTCCAGCTGCTCTGGACGTGGAAGGAAAAGGTGTCATTAGGGAATCAGAGGTGACTCGGCCACTTCTGGCTGAGGGAATTAGGGTAAGATGCATCCCCTTCGACCCCTGGAGAGTCAAGCTTGAAGGTTTTGCAGGGTTTGTGGGTGGATTAAAACCATGTAACACCTGTTATGGGCTGAATCGCATCTCCTCAAATCCATCTGTGGAAATCCTAATCCCCAGGACCTCAGAATGTATTTGGAGATGGGGTCTTTCAAGAGGCAACTGAGTTAAGTTGGGGTCATACGGGTGGACCTTAGTGCAATATGGGAAGGGCAGGTTAGACACGGACACATGCAGTGGGAAGACCTGTGAGGAGGTAGGGAGAGGATGCCATCTACCAGCTGAAGAAGGAGGGGATACGGTTTGGCTGTATTGCCACCCAAATCTCCCCTTGAATTCTAAGAATCCCCACGTGTCAAGGGTGGGGCCAGGTGGAGGTAATTGAATCACTGGGGCAGTTTCCCCCATACTGTTCTCCTGGTAGTGAATAAGTCTGTCGAGATCTGATGGTTTTATAAAGGGGCGTTCCCCTGCACAAGCTCTCTCGCCTACCATCATGGAAGACATGACTTTGCCCCTCGTTCACCTTCTGCCATGATTGGGAGGCCTCCTCAGTCATGTGGAACTGTGAGTTCATTAAACCTCTTTCTTTTATAAATTACCCAGTCTCAGGAATGTCTTTATTGGCAGCGTGAAAACAGACTAATGAATACAGGAGGCCTCAGAGGGCAGCAACCCTGCTAGCCTTGGTCTTGAACTTCCAGCCTCCAGAACATGAGAGAATGAATTTCTTGTGTGAGTCCCCAGTCTGTGGGACATTGTTATGGAGACTGAGCTGATCTGTGCGACCCCCGAAGCCCTGTCCTCACCCCGAGCAGCACACGACAGGCTCGGGAGATGTCCACAGTGGGCCGGCCGTCCTCACGGAGCACCGCGCCTTGGGCATGGACACTGTGTCCCTGCTCCACCAGGTCTGCGAGAGACACAGAGCAGCTGGGCTCAGCGTCTCCAGCCTCATCGCTCACCACCTCTTCCAACCCCGGGCTCTGGTCAATTCGTCATCCTGGCCTAGATTCAATCATGTCCCCTCAGAGAAGCTGCCCCACGCACAGGGCCTCCAGAGCCAGGTGAGATGCCCTCAGGGACGCACATTCTCACTATGTCCGCAGTTCTGAGGCCTCACTGTGTGTTTCTTTTCTTTTCTGGTCTGTCTTCCCGCTACATGAGAAGCTGCCTGAAGGCAGGACCCTTCCCGACTGTCCTGTCCAGAGGATCCCCCATAAAGATGGCCCCGGGCAGGTAAGAGGAGCCAGGACATGCTTATGGATGGACACAGAGCCCAGGCCTGAGCTGAGGACATGTGGGGCCCTGGACTGCCAGTCACTTCTCTGGGTCTCCGATCCCTCCATCTGGAAACACGGAGTTCTTGGGGAGCTCTGTGAGGCCCCATGGGACAGAGACGTTGATGTCATCAGGCAGCACACGCTGCTGAGCCCCGAGAGTGAGCAGGTGAATGGTACCTGGGCCAGCCTGTGGGAGAGCCCCAGCATGGGGCAGCAGGCCAGGGGACCGCTGAGGAGACGGAGAGGAAGGGCCCCTGTCTAGGAGCCTTACCCCAGATTGGAGCTGGGCCTGGGGAGGGGTCCTGAGCCCCTCAGCCCCTCTCTGGGTGGCTGAGAAATCCACCGCTCATCTTTGGTTTCTGAGCAATTTACAGAGAATTGCTAATGGTTTTATGAATCATGGGAAACAGAGAATGCTGTTTTATTTTTCTGCTTCTGACCTCTCAAAAGAGATTTCCAGATGCCTCATACAAGTTGATTCCGTATAATCGAGTCAAGAATTTCATGACGTGACTCAGCATTTAAATCTCCTAAAGGCAGATATGTCACCCGAAGACAGAGAGTTACCAAACTCTGATTTTGCCATAGTTTGCGTACAGGTGAAACAGAAAAGAAGTGGTGCGTTGGGCGGGAAAGCTTTGAAACAACTTGACTCTTTCTTCTCCCAGTTCCCCTCTTTCCTGGAGACCTGGATCCTCGGGAGTCTGGAGGTGCTCCCTGCTGCATAGCCACATGGGCAGCGGGTGAGTGGGTGGGGAGAAGGGTTCGGGCAGGCTGGGCCCTCGAGAGGCTGGGCCGCAGGTGTGTCCCAGTAGGTCCAGGGCCCCTGCATCCTCAGTGCCCTTTAGGAAGCACTCAGCTGGCTTGGACGATTAGCAATTTGGAGTGTGTGAAGCTGGGAGTTCAGAAATGGGGGGCGTTTCGAAGCGGGCTCATCAAGCGCCCGACCTCCTTCATCTCCTCTTGAGGACCTGGGCCTGCCTGTCCCCCACTCTGTCCACAGCCTCAGCCTCTCTGCAGCCAGCTCCCTCTCCCTGGGAGAATGGCTCTGGTTTCCTTGTGGCAGACAGGATTTGCTTCCAGGAGAATGCCGTGTGCACAAGGGTCTAAATCCGGACTCCAACTAATCGTTGATGACAAAGAAGGCACCTCCACACTGGCTGAGAGTAGACTCAGGCCTAGAACTGGTCAGTCCCCTAAATGTCATTGCTAGTAAAGGACAGGGCAGGGAGGGAGAGGACGGACACTGAGCTTTCAGCCGTGCTGTGCACTGGAGTCACAGACGGGCCACTACGGCCACCACCAGCATCTCCTCCTGCATTTGGAAGGAATGCTGCCCGGGTTTACCGATGTGGTGAGTGCTGTGGGAGTGCTGAGCCTTTCTGTGCACAGTGGGCGTTTGCAGGATGTCAGAAATGTGGTTTTGCACAAAAGGAAGTTACCCCTGGGAAGGCCCAGCAATTACAGGGGAGGAAACTGAGGCAAGGTCCTTGGCTAGGAGGTGGCGGCTGAGGAGCCAGGGAGCTCTGGATGGAGCTGTGGCATCGTATTGCTCCCCCACACTGGTGAGGCCTTGGATATTTGGGTCACGCTTGTATTAGTGGAGGTGCATTTTTCTCCTCTGTCCCACTCGGGTACAAGAGTGGGGACTCCTCTTCACACATACTATGGTTCCTTAGGTGTCTGGGCCCCACCCTTCCTCTGGGCTGGGGCAGGGGCAGGGTGGAGCCCTGAGGCAGCTCCTTGGGCAGACAGAGCCCATAACGTGATCCACCTGCCCACTCGGACGTTTCAGCTAGCCTCTCATGGAGCCAGACAGGATTGCTAATGGGATCCTGATACCTGTTATGGACCGAGTGTTTGTGTCCTCCCAGAGTTTTGATGTTGAAACCCACGGTGATGGTGCTAGGAGGTGGGGCCTCTGGGAAGTGACTGGGTCAAGAGGGTGGAGCCCTCAGGGATGGGATTAGTGCTCTTATGAAAGAGGCTGGGAGAGCTCCTTCGTGCTACTGCCACTTGAGGACAAGCGGGAAGTCCTCTGTCCGCCAGCCTGGAGGAGGCCCTCACCAGAGCCTGAGCAGGTCGGCACCCTGTGTTGAGGCTTCAGTCTCCAGAACCGTGAGAAATAAACGTGTGGTTTATAAACTGCACAGTCAATGGTATTTTGCAATAGCAGCCTGCTGCACAGGCTAAGATAGTCTCCTAGAATGCGAGATTCAGAAGGCGACTGTGTCGATGGGGAAAATGCCCTGGGGTGCACAGAGGGCAGCGGGGCCAGGGCAGCAAGACAGGCCCCACTTCTTGCTGCCTCGAACTTATCCTGAGGACGTGGGATGCGGCATGTGGGGATCGGGAGAATGTGTTCGGTGCCTGGCGTGATGCTGGTGAGGCCAGGGAGAGGCTGAACATCCCAGGGCCTTGCGGGGCACGAGGCTTTCCAGTGCTGAACTGGGATGGGAGCAGGATCTGCTTTGGGGCTCCCATGGGCCTGTCCCGGGGGGACTGCTCCCAGGGAACATGGCGTCTGCAGGAGCTCCATCCGCGCACCCTCTTCTGGCCTCTTCCCCGCTTCCTGCATTCTGTCTAGTCAGTAGCTTGAGTCGGTGGACGTAGGTGCACGTGGGCTGAAGTGGGATGACACAAAAACCCACTGCGCATTAATGAGAGCTGCAGCCCCTGTCAGAGGCCGAGGGAGCCCCAGCTTCTCAGGGGAGTCCTGAAAACCCTGGGGACCTGTATTGTATCCTGAGATCTGCCCCTCAGTCCCCTCCGCTGGGTCATCGCAGGAGCTAGATGGTGTGTGCTGCTATGATGTAGATAAGGAGGGTGAAGAGTTCCTCATCCTGGCAGGAGTGGGAGGCCTGAGCCCCAAAGCTGAATGAGAACCCATGCCACTGATGGCTCCACAGTGACCAGGAATGCTGGTCACCAAAGCAGGCCTGGACTCAGGGACAGATGCCAAGCCACAGACACACCCTCAGTTCCATTTCATTTCAGAATCTAAATGTCACACCCGAGACCTGTCAAAGTACCGGGTAATTAGAAGTGAACAAGAGGCAGACGTGGACTACAGGTTAGAGACCGCGCGACTCTGGGTGTGACACTGTATACAGCAGCTGAAGTCAGGGGTACGCCACATTCAAGGCACTGTGTGGCACTCCTCTTGGGTTCTTTCCCTCTGTCTTTCCTGGGAGGCATAGGGCATCGTAACCCCATTCCACCCCTGAGGCACGGTGTGGGGAGAAACGTCACATTATTGGTCATAGGTGACGGAGCTGGGAGTGGAACCTGGTGCCTTGGAACCTAGAGTCTGGGCCCGGAGCCATCCACCACACAGGTCTGGTGTGTCCATGCTCACAAAGTGCTGCCCGTGTTTCACAGGATTTGCACTATGCTGAAGATTCTGGGGTGTGTGGTACCTGTACTTGTGTGCATTCCTCTTTGAGCAAGAGTCAACATGTAACCGGCAATATTTGAACAAGATGCTAACAGGTCCACTACGTTCTTGTGTCAATTAAGAAACAAAACCAAAGACGTCCCTGGTACTCCACTGGCTATGGAATCAAGGTGACACTCCCTAGGGTGGCATAAATCCCTTAGGTCTCTCCAGAACATTCCATTCCCGATAAGCTTCCAGATATTTTACACGTGGAGTATACATCTTATTCTTCCTCTCTCCGCTTAGCCTTCCATCTGCCTGCAGCACCCTGTCGCTCCTCCACTTCTAAAGATCTTGTGTTCTTCTCGACCCAGTTCCAATACTGTCGTTTCTGTGCATCTCCGACTGCCAGGGCCTGTGTTCCTACGCCCTGTGGAAGGGTGCCCAGCGATCACACTCCCTCCACACGCTCTTGTCTCTTCCGAGCCTTCAATGCCATCTTTCGCAGCTTCTGCAGTCTACAAGCCTGGAACTCCGGACCTGACTGTGTAACTAATGGTGCATCTCCACTCGATATCCAAAGGCCTCTTCAACTCTACAGAACAGAAGCTCGACTTTCTCTAGGTTCTCACATCCAAGTAAATGGCACTGCCTTTTGCCCAGTTGTTCAGGCAGCACCTGAAAAGCATCCTTTATTCTTCAATGCCTCCCATGCTGCGTATCCACACCAAGCAGCAGGACTGTCTTTTTCTCCAAAACACACCTGGATGGGGCCTCTCCTGGCCGCACTAAGCCCCTGGGCATCACGGTCGCCTGGAGTGTGTGGACAGCCTCTGGTGGGCTCCCTGCTGCAGCTGTTCCCGTCCTCTATTGCACAGAGCAGCCAGTGAGCTTTGGAACACAAATCAGGGCCTGACACTGCCCTGCTCTAAGCCCCAAGCTCTCTCTTGGCCTCCCAGCTTCCCCAGAACAAATCCCAAAGTCTCGGCGTGGGCGACAGGCCCACACCGCACAGCCCCACCTACTCCCAGCAGGCCGCATCTCTTCCTGCTCCCCAAATGTGACAAGGTTGGCATCGCCCATGCGTGTGGGTTTCCCTCTGCCTAGAGCCCTCGTTCCCTGCCATTAAAAATGCCTTTATCCACATCACTTGGTTCCAGCTCCAAAGCCATTTACTCAGTGAGGGTCTCCCACCCACTCACCCACTCACCTCACCTTATTTTTTTCTTCCACACCACTGGTTACCATCTGCAATTGAATGAAATTATTTACCGAATCTTATTTTATATTGTCCTATTTCCTTAGCGGACAAAAACTCAAAATTACGAAAGTAAGGACTTTGCCTTGAGTGTTGTTCTACACCCAGGTGATCAGAACACAGAAACCTTTGATAACCTTGTGCTGAAACAAGAAAGGCTGTTTCCCTTGTTGGATCATTTGTACCTGAAATCAGGAAACTGCCTGCTGGAGCCTCTGTTCCTGGCATACACTTGGTGCTTAACACATGCTCGTTAAATACACGAACAGATACCTAAATAACATCATTCAATTTTTCCCTTCTCATTGATTGAGATGGTTTAGCGGAGTCCCCACCCAAATCTCATCTTGAACTCTAGTTCCCATAATCCCCATGCACGGTGGGAAGGACCCAGTGGAAGGTAATTGATACCCCCATGCTGTTCTCATGATACTGAGTGAGTTCTCACGAGATCTGATGGTTTTATAAGGGGCTTTCCCCCCATTCGCTCTGCACTTCTTGCTGCCACCACGTGAAAGAAGGATGTGTTTGCTTCCCCTTCCGTCATGATCATGATCGTGTTTCCTGAGGCCTTCCCAGCCCTGCAGAACTGTGAGTCAGTTAAGCCTCTCTCCTTTATAAACTACCCGATCTTGGGTATTTCTTCTTAGCAGTGTGAGAACGGACTAATGCATCAAGGTTTTCAAAAGAGCTCTACCCACAGATCTTTTAAATTCCATTCTTTTCCTTTGGCTTCATAAATGAGTGAGCTTTCTTAAGGTTTATTATCAAGAGTGGCTTTCAAGTTTTAGGAGCACATTAGGTCTCTGAAGCCTTGTAAATTTCTTTTAAGTCACATGAAAAAGATCTTTACTTCCAAGGAGACACCTGGCTATGCCGAGGCCTTTGGGTTTGCAGGGCTCATCCTGCACTTTTGGGGTGAGTGAGAAAATGATGCTCACCTCCTGGCTGCTTCAGCCTCCAAGTGTCCAATGCTTAAATGAACAGACGGGGTCCTCCCTCTCAGGCCTCATTATTGAGGGCAAACTAGCCCCGTGACAGAGGAGGGCAAAGGACATTATGAGCTATTCAGCCCTGCAGAGGCGACAGGCTGGGGATTTTCTCTTCCTAAGGCCAGAGATGCTTCTGAGGATGATGAGCTGATGCAGGCAGGGGTGGCTACTTTGCGCAGAGGGCAGAATAGTGCCGGCCCCCGGGATGGGCGAGAGGAGGGAGCATCCAGGAGCTGGGCCTGCAGAGGGAGGGACGGAGAGGCCCTGGGCCATGCTGAGGGTTTGAACTTGATCCTGAGGCCATCGGGGGCTGCAGGAGGGCTTTACACAGAACATAATTATATGGTAAGATGTAACCGTCAGAAAGTTATAGACGGCTGGGGCAACTACACGGATGGCAACAAACAAGAAGCTGGAAGCTGCTGGGAAGCTTTTGGGTGATCTGGGTGAGGAGGGAAGGGTGCTGTGCCAAGGATGGGGGAGGACAGCCGCCACTGGGGTGGAGATGCAGGACTTGGGACCGGCTGAGGGGCAGTGAGTCAGGATGGCCCACCCCTGGCCTGGCCACCAGGAGCACGGGGGTGCCATCCAGGAGTGAGACATGCAGACAAGGGGCAAGCCTGGAGGGAGAGATGAGTGCAGCTTTGTTTTTAAAAATTTTTTGTAAAATACACGTAAGAAAATTTACCATCTGAATCATTTTTAGCTCCACAGTTGAGTCTACTCGCATTGTTCTGCACCGGCTCTCTAGGGCTTTCTTGTCGCGAAAGTAAGCCCTGTCCTCCTTCAACACTAACTCCCCATTCCCCTCTGCCAGCCCTGACACCCACCCTGACACCCACCCTTCTACTTCCTGTCTCCGTGGGTTTACTGTTCGGGGGGTATGCAGTGGGATCGCACAGTGCTTGTCCTGTGGCTGGGTCCCCCCGCCCGGCGTAATAACTCCAAGCCTCTTCCGTGTTGTGACGTGCGTCCGAATTGCCTTCCTTTTTAAGGCTGAATAATCTGTTGTCCTGCATGGGTGGGGCACACTGCGTTTATGCCTCATTGGCTGACGGACACGTGGGTTGCCTCCACCCTTGGCTGTTGTGGGGTGCTGCTGTGATGTGGCTGTGCAAACTCCTCGAGTCCTTGCTTTCAGTCCTTTGGGGGAGAGACCCACAGTGGAACTGAGGGGTCACGTGGCGCTTCTGTTTCTAAGTTTTGCGGAAACCACCGCCCTGGGCCTAGTTTCTGACGTGTGAAGCTGAGGTCTCTGTGGATGCCATGTATGAATGTGGAGCTGAGAGACTGGCATGAGCAGGAAGAATGGGGGCAGGGCCTGGGTGATGTCACTGTTTATGGGGAGATCCCCCCTTGGCCCTGCCCTGGGCCCTTTCAGCCTTCACTTGTCTCCTGGACTCTTGGCCCCCCAAGTCACCCCAGACACCACCGAGGTGATCTGGTCTTGGGACCCCTGGGGCACAGCACACAGCTTGTGCCTCAGGCCCCAGGTGCTGGCTGCTTCTGCCCTGGGCTCGCTGCTGCTGCTGTGGATTTGGGACGCACCCAGCACCTAGTGCTGCTACAGAAGAGTCCTAGGAGCGGGCCTTGGACTGAGGATGGTGAGGAGCTCTCCTCCCTTTGTCCTCTTGATGGGCCACCTTGGGCCTCAGTAGCTCAGGGGCGCTCTCAGCCCTGCGAGAGAGCACAGCCAGCTGTGTTTGGAGCCCTCAGTGGCCAGCTGGGGACCTCGACTCTGCGTACTTGCCTAATCAGCCTCCTGGCCTTCCCCACCCCTCCTTGGGATTTCCCAGTAAGCAGCAGAGACAAGCTCGGGCTCAGGCTCTGCTTTCAGGGAACCAGTGAGGACAGAGCCAGGAGGAGAGCAGGTGGCAAAACAGGACAAGAAACCAGAGAGACTTGGTCACAGAGGAGACCGCCCTCACGGAGGGTGCCTGGCTGTGTCTCGTGCCACCGAGAAGGCACATTAGAGAGGTGCCCAGCAGCACCCTGGCTCCCTTGGGGGGAAGATTTGCAGGGTCAGGAAACCAGAGACGGGAGGAAGCCAGCCCTCGGGGGCAGTTTCCGGAGGATTCTGCCTGCTCTGGGAGGGAGTCACGGGGCCACGTTCGGCGGATGCGTTTCTAGGTTAGAATTTTTTCTTTTCTTTTCTTTTTAAGATTAGAGTCTTGGGAATATTTCTCTGCTTATTAAAAACAATAAATTGAAAGGGATAGGCTGGAGTTAAAAGAGAATCAATGGACCAAGGACCTGGAGGAAATGGGACAGGACCCAGCAGGTAGGAGGGGCTGGCTACAAACAGAAGAAGAGTGGGGCGCTGGGCCACTGAGGGGTGAGGGGCACAGATAGGGTGGGGTGGAGGGGTGTGTGTCAGAGACAGAAACAGAGAAACAGACACAAGAGAGGCGGAGACAGAAACAGACACGGAGACAGAGAGACAGAGAGAGACAGAGAGAGACAGAGAGAGACAGAGAGGGACAGAGACAGAGAGGGACAGAGAGACAGAGGTAGACAAAGGGACAGAGAGAGGCATAGGAAGGCTGAATGCGGGCTTCACTCTGGCTTTCTCATTAGCTCTGTGCACCAGGGGAAGCCCTGTTGCTCCAACTGAAGAGGGCAGAGGCCTGGCAGCCTAGAGCAGGAGGACAGAACAACTCTCTGAGGATGGCAGCAGCACTGCTAGGCGCCGTGAGCCCTGGGCTGGAGCAGGGATGGCAGTGGCACCCATGTGACTGAAGCTTTCTCTAGGAGTTCTGGGAACACCAGGGTAAGGCGGTGGCAAACGGGCAAGTGCCGGAACAGACCTGCGTGGCAAGGAGGTGTGCACAGGGCAGGGTGCGGGAGAGCCCTCAGTGCTGGGCTAGGGACTCTGGGAGAGGCTGGAAAGGAAGCAAGGCTGGAGCGGGCTGAGGGGGTGCTGGGTGCCTCAGTGGGTCTAGAAGCACGGAGGTGAAGTTAGAGCTGATGGCTTCAGAGGTGGGATCGTTTGAGGTGGTGGTAGTCTGGGTGTCACCGCAGGAGTCACACTTGTGGGGATCCTCAGTGATGCTAGGCCCGGAGGTGATGGGGTGCAGTCGCTTTGCCTCCTTCAGAGGCTTGCATGGTGGCCTGGCATTCTCCATGCACAGTGCAATACCGAGCACGTGCCCACTGACGGTGGACAGGGAGCCTGATCTCAGTGCCCAATGCGTTTACTGTCCCTGCTGGGCCACCTAGCACAGCTATTGAGAGAGACAGTGGGTACGTTTGCCAAAGGCGTTGAGTTTGTGAAGTGCCTTCATCTCCAGTGACTCAGCTTACATGACAGGTGCCTCCTACATGGCTGACGAATGGAATTATGGTGGAGAAAAGGAATTCTGGGAACCTGCCCCGGTGGATCTCTTCCCATGACCACCCCGGGATCTCTTGCTCCTGCAGCGGCATCCTGATTTTCTCTTCTGTTCCCCAGCCTCGGCTGACAGAAGAGGGAACAGGCAAGGTGTGTCTGTCAGAATTAGTTATGACAGCAAGCAAAGAATAATTCCAACTAACAGCAGTGTGAAAAGGATAGAAGACTTCTCTGTCATAGTCAGGACGCCCGGAAACATTCGATCCTCGGCTGAGACGTGCCCCTGGGGCAGGGACCTGGGTTCCTCCTTAGCCCTCTGTTCCACTGTGCTTGGCTTCTGTTCCTAAGGTTGCTTCATAGCCCAGGAGAGCTGCCAGGGTGCCAGCTCTTACATTCCTGCTCAAGCCAGCAGGGAGGAAGAAAGATTATGCCCTTCTCTTCTGGAGCACTTCCAAGAAGGTACCCAGGCCAAGCTGACTTCCATCCCATGTTCTGAACTTTGACGTGGCCGCAGTTCACTGCATGAGGGGCTGGGACACAGAATCTTGATTCCAGATGGCCACCGAGAGAGCTCAAACTTGGTTTTTCCTGACTGAGGAGGACAGGCAGAATGGATACTGGACACGGTTGACTGTGCCCCAAAGAGAGACTAAAGAGCTGCCTCTTAGGATGATAAAAGGTGACTCAGATGTGCTGTTGCTTCTTATTCTTTCAGGAAACAGGGTAATAATAAAAAGGAGAGTGCGGGACTTTGACCCTTAAAAGAATCAGCCTACTGGAGCCAACTGATGCAGGGGAAAAGCGTTTGCACTCATGGGGAAGAAGAACAGTAGCCTGATCTCTGGCCTTTGAGTTTTAATCCACAGCTGATAGTAAACCCTCTTCTGATGTTTATGACGGGCACGAGTCCAGTCCCTGACCAGATCAGCCAACGCCATTCCTCCAATGACACAAAGGAACGTCTTCCGAAAGCATGGCCGGCGCCCTCCCGCGACCTTCCACTGAAGCTCGCTCGTGTCAGCCTCAGGCTATGCTGTTGCCCTAGTTTAATCATTAATCACCTCGCTTTTGCTCTCTAAAGTTTCCAGGCTTTGAGAGTAGTCTGAACCACCTGCATCAGAAGTGCCTAGAAGCTTGCTAAAATGTGGATTTCAAGGTTTCATCTCAGAAATAGTCATCAAAACCCCTGGACGACCGGGTGCAGTGGCTCACGCCTGTAATCCCAGCACTTTGGGAGGCCGAGGCGGGCGGATCACAAGGTCAGGAGATCGAGACCATCCTGGCTAACACAGTGAAACCCCATCTCCACTAAAAAATACAAAAAAATTAACCGGGCGTAGTGGCGTAGTGGCGGGAGCCTGTAGTCCCAGCTACTTGGGAGGCTGAGGCAGGAGAATGGCATGAACCTGGGAGGCAGAGCTTGCAGTAAGCTGAGATCGCGCCACTGCACTCCAGCCTGGGCGACAGAGCGAGACTCCGTCTAAAAACAAACAAGAAACAAAAAAACAAAACCCTGGACATAGGGTCTGGAGCGTTGCCTTTTAAAAAACATGCCATAAAACTTGAGAAGCAGTGTTCTCATGCTGTGTCTGCATCACCGCAGGCCCTCCGTGTATTTTACAGATAGGAGAACCCAGGTCTGGGGATGAAAGGACAGAGCAGGGACTTGGATTGAAGTCTCCCAGCTGTCATCCTCGTGTCATCCTACGGCCACCTTGCTGGAAGGTTGAGGCTCTGGCCTTGGTTCCTTGTGGTTCAGTGCCCTCCAGTGGAGCCCTGACTGATGCCCATGCCACAGCTGCCTCCTGGAATTGTTCTAAAAATCAAATGGGGTAACAGCTGCAAAAGGGCTCTCAGTCAAAAGGCCGTTCGGCTGAGAGCGCATTTGCCACGATTACCTTCTGGGTGTTTTGGGGTGAGGCCGTGTTTTTGTATACTTACATTTTTGTTTAAGGATCTAATTTACGACCAGGACGTACCACACTAGGCATCTGGTGGGCGCATGGTGCTGCTGCATTGGCTGAAGCTGCGCGTCTCTGTTGAGTGAGAAGTTGAGCACATGGGAGGGTGGAGGCCTGTCCTGGGTCAGGCTGAATGGTGGCTGAGAGGTCGTCGGGCTCAGAGACGCCAGCCCACCAGAACCCCAGCATTCCCAGCCTCCTTAATGTGCTGGTCATTTCCTCAAATTATCCACAATCCAGCACCACCCAGAGTCCAAACTGACGCAGCTGCGTGTCTCTGAGGGCCCAGGCAGAGCTGTCCTTTTGAAGCTTGGCTCTGGGCTGTGTCTGCACCAGAAACCGGCTCAGCTTGCCTGCCCTGCCCTGTCCTTGCTAACAGCTCCTATTTTCTTTGTTTAAGAAAGAGCATAAATATTATTAGTTGGCAATTTAGTTACAGAACCTAACAGGGATGTCTGGAGACAGATTTAGTGCAGAAGCCAATGAATTTGGATATGTCTAGTGCCAAGTTTAAAGCTCCTTAAAGAAAGCTTTTTTGTTGTTTGTTTTCCTTTCTCTCTTCATTTGGTGACATGTCCAGGAAGTGTATGGCTGGCAGGTTGAAAAAAGTCCTGGGAGAAAATAACTCGTGTTGGACGGCAGCAAAGTCCTTCCTACTGGAACTTCCTAGACAAGTCCTTTGGGTCACACATTACTTTTACTAGACAAATCTCTTTTCACTGGACGTCTCCAATTTCAGGATGTGTGATAACTCAGACACCAGTTTGTTGATCTGAAGTTGCCTTCATCACATTCCGTGATGGAGGATTTACCAAGCAAATGTCTGAATTATCAATGCTTTGAAGTTCTGTAAAGCCCATTTTGAACTGTGGGAACTGAACTCTTGGTTGATTAGAGGCACTGACGCTCTGGGTACGGCGTGACAGAGTATGAGAGCCATGTGCAGGGCCTGGGTTTGGAGCCTGGCTCTGCCCCTTGCAGGCCTTGGTCATGGGGTCCCTGTGAGCTGCTTATTCACCTGCCAGGGGAATGAGCGAGTCCTTCAAAGGAGGTATTGAGAGCTGATGACACAAAAGTACCTTAATATACCTTTGAAGATACTGCCTCGGACTCAACTCTACCACGAAGACTAAGACATCTCCGTTTGTCTGCCCTGTGAAAGCATTTAAGGACATTGCTAATTTCTGCCATCAATAAATTTACTGGTCTTATTCTATTGGGTCACTATAAAACTGGCAAGGAGCCAACAGTCTTCAGAAAAGCACTTTGATGCTCATATTACCTTAAATCACTGTGATCGATAAGGATAGAAATCAACAAGGAACAATGAAATGTGCAGGCCCTAAAACAGAAAAGACGGAGGGTGCAAAGCCTCCTGCCTCCTTCCTCTCCCCAGCTTTGCAGCAGGTCCTCAAGTGAGGGAGGGCTGTGGGAGTTTTCTTTTGCTGCTATTACGGTAAATTACCACAAACTTAATGGCTGCAGACAACATAAATTTATCATCCGAGAGTTCTATAGTTCAAAAGTCCACTACAGGTCTCACTGGGCTACGACCAGGTGTCAGGATGCTGGATCCTTCTGGGGACTCCAGGGGAGCCCTGTTTTCTTGCCTTTTCCAGGTTGGAGTACTCCCACCTCCCTGGGCTCGGGGCCCTTTTGTCTTGCAGCCTGCAGCAGCATCTCTCTGACTGCGCCTTGCAGCATGGCCCTTCCTCCAACTCCTCTCCCGCCCTCCTCACCAGAAGCACCTGGGATGACATTCACCCACTGGATGATCCAGGAGAATCTCTGGTCTCAAGGACACCAATGAGCAACTGTCATCCTCTGCCATGGAACCTGACACATGCTCGCGTTCCAGGGATCCAGACGCGAATGTCTCTGGGGCCATCGTTCCCTCTGCCACGGGATGGTTTCCACTGGTCGAGGCAGAAATGTCGCATGGCTTGGCCGAAGCAGCTGCAGTGGGTAGCCAGGGGTGGAGGCCTCTGTCCTCCGCTTTTGGGCTCTGGTCAGGCATTTAATTCCTTGCTCTGGAGATATTCCCGGTGAGTCGGCTCTCGTTAAATCTCAGAAAATTCGGTGCTGTGAAGTGGACAAGACTGGTGTATCATTGTTTAGGCCTCATCTGAGCCCAAGGATTCTGTCTCAGCGATGGGGACCAGCCCAGGTTGCTGTTTCCACAAAAGAATGACTCTAACAGCAGAAATGCAGAAATGCGTGTGGAGTGAGAGACCTCTGGCCTGGCATGTTGGGGAGCTCACCGGCTCCAGCAGTGTTTCTTGGGCAGTCGCTAGGCCACCTGCGTCTGAATCTCAGGGAACTTGTTCAGGAAGAAACCTGCTCCCAGTCCGGTTCCTCGGAATCAGAGTCCCTGGTAGCAGGGGGCCAGGGAAGCTGCATTTTTCCCCTGTGATTTTTTACACACAATGAAGCTTCAGAACCACCAGTGCAGGGACATAGACACGGACGGACCAGCCAGACGGACGGCCGCTGCCAAGACAGACACCTGGGAGGCCTGGTGGGTCCGTCTCCTTCAGGGAGTGCTCAGGAGAGTCGAACGCACCTCATTCCTCGTGGCACTGATGCCCGCGCTCACCCTGAAACTTGAGCCAATGTGAGAAAGAGCAGCGCGTGGTGATCCGTGGGGCACTGCAGGCCACAGACCCCGAATGCAGTTTTTGTGATGGGAGTCCGAGGCGGAATAGCTGTTCTACAGCCATGAAGGCAGCCAGCACATTTCCAAAGCCCCTACTCTGCATAATGACCTTATAAAGTCCACGTTTTCTTTCTTTTGCTGGCAGATAGGATCTTTTCTAACCTTTTTCCCCTAAGATTCATATTCATACATATTTCCCTTCCTCGGCGTGATTTGTAATGGTTGCACAGTGGGCCGTCCCGTGGGAGGGCCATCATTCACTTCAACAGGCCCCTTTCTTGGGCCTGTAGGTAAATCTACATATTCTTTTTGACTGAGGCTTTTTGGCAACCACACATGAAAGTGATGGTCTGGGCCGGGCGCAGTGGCTCACGCCTGTAATCCCAGCACTTTGGGAGACCGAGGTGTGTGGATCACCTGAGGTTAGGGGTTCGAGATCAGCCTGGACAACATGAAAATTAGCTGGGCGTGGTGGCGCATGTCTGTAATTCCAACTACTCGGGAGGCTGAGGCGGGAGAATTGCTTGAACCCAGGAGGCGGAGGTTGCAGTGAGCTAAGATTGTACCACTGCACTCCAGCCTGGGCCACACAAAGCAAGACTCCGTCTCAAAAAAAAAAAAAAAAGAAAAAGAAAAAGAAAGTGATGGTCTGTAGCTGATGCAATTATGTAACATGCCACACCTTCCATTTTTATCATTTTTAATACGGAATAAAATCCGTCCACAAGCTTCTAGGAGACAACGTTCAAGGCTGATGTGGTGCAGGTTGTGTTTCTGCCTGGTGCAGGTACTGCCAAGATAACAAGAGTTTGACTGTTTTTATGAAGATCAATGACTCTGACCCCCACAAAGGATTCCTCTGTGAGTGAGGGATCAGATGACAGCCCGTGGACAGCTGGCATTCCTCAGCCTGTTGGTCAGACGATGCTCCCTCCTCTGAGAATGGCAGGGTTCCCTCAGGGGAGGAGGTGAGCTGATTGGGTCAGCTGGGAGCTAAGTGAGGTCACAGGGAGGGACGTCTACCCCGTGGAATCATGTCTTATTAAGGAGTGAAAGAGACACCATCTATCGCTGCCCAGGAATCAGCTCCGCGTGGCGGCGGGTTTGGGGCAGGGGCAAGTAAACGTCAGGAACGGACCAGACAGTGAACATTTTAGGATTTGTGACTGTGTAACTCTGCTGTTGTAGTGCAGAAGCAGCCGTGGGTGATACCTGGGCAAATGGGCCTGGCGTGTTCCCACGACAATGCGTTTACTGTAACAGATGCCAAGAGGATTAGGCCACCGACTTTTGCATGTGCTCTTCGGGCCTGCCGCCTGAGCAGAATGAGGATTCCAGTGGTGTTCACATCATCAGGCGTCTCGTGTTCTGCGTATAAAACAAGCTCTTGAAGTCAGGAGACAACGTGCAAGCTTAGCAGGCAGGTAGCTCGTGAAGCATCTCACCTCCCAGCATAACAAGTGCTTCTCCATCCGTACGTACAGAATTCCACTCTGCAGGCGGCAATGTTGTGATGGAATATGCTCTGAGAGAGAGAGGAGGTGACTTCTGCCAGGAGTGATCAGGAGGACTTCTTGGAGGAGGCAGCACTTGAACTGGTCTTGAAAGATGATGAGATTTTAATGGGAAAAGAGACGATCGAGAAGAACCTTCCAGCAGGAGGGAGCTGCCTTAGCAAAGATAGGGAGGCTGGAAAACATGAGAAGTGGGACAGGAATATCAACACAGGACCTCTCCCTTCTGAGCCAAACTGACACTCACCTCTTGCCATGAAAGGTCGCTCTTCCGGAGATTATAAGCTATTTATTTTTAATAGAGAAACTGCCTTAGTTTGAGTTCTGGCTGCCACTTATTTAGGGAAGAAACAACTTTTTGGGCCTCAGGTCCTCATCTGTAAAATGGGCTGAATAATAGGATTGTGCCTCTCTCCAGTGGGCTGTTAGAGGTTGGGCTGCGTACCCCCAGTACTCACATGCTGAGGCCTAACCCGGTGTGACTGTACATGGAGACAGGTGTATAGGGAGGGGATAAAGGCTAAGTGAGGCCACAGGGGAGGGGCCTCTACCCTCTAGAGTCGTGTCTTTATAAGGAGTGAAAGAGAAACCATCGCTTGCTTCTCTCCCGTGTGCAGAGGAAAGGCCAGTGAGGAGGCGCCCTGCAGCCCCAGGCAGAGCCCTCACCACGCCAGCCCTGCCGACGCCTTGATCTCGGACTCCCGGGCATCTGCTGCATAAACCACCCCGTCCGATGTATTTTCCCATGGCAGCTTGAGCAGAATGAGGCTGGGGCTTTGGAAGAAGGAACTTCACATGTGAGGAACTTGGAGAGTGGGACGTGCCGTGTGTGCACATGTGCTGCTGGTGGCTGTTGTTATTGTTATGATCAGGAGTGGCGTATTCCCAGCCTCTGGAAGCTAACCTCATGGTTTTCTTTCTTCTTCCACTTTTCCTTTTTCAGATCATGCCTGCCCTTAGCCTGAATCCCCGCCATGTAGGGCTCCAGGACTGCTGTGGCCTCAGCAATTCTGGGCTCCCGGAGGCCCTGGTTCATCGTTCTGCCCTTTCCCCTTGGCTGGCCTAGATGCCATGTCCTCTTTCTTGGGACGGTCCTCACTGACGGGCCCCATGGGAGGAGGGAGACAGGGCCAGCTGCCATGTGGGCACAGCTGTCATGGCATCCCCTCCTCCAGACATTGCTCACCAGTCCTGGCTTCCCTGAGCTTCTCGTCAGCCCTGGTGGAAGTGAGCAGACATGATGACTTAGTCTTGTTTTCCCCATCAGGAGGCCAGGGCAGGGGAAAGGCAGTGTGCCGCTGAGTGGTTGGTCGTCTGACTTAGTGCCAGTCACGCGCATGTGATCTAGGGTCTCGGGGCACGGTGCTGGGACAGCTCAGCTGGCAGACCTAGGACAGGGCTGGAGGGTGGGGGGCAGGACTGGGGCCAGAACTCTTCTCCCTCCCTCCCTCCGGACTCAGGGGGGTCCCTTGGGCGAATTCCTTGTCCAGACAGAGATGTGCGGGGCGAGAGACCCCCAGTCTCCCTAGGAGAAGTGAGCAGGTGGGGCCCAAGACAACAGCCCCCTGTGGCAACCTCCAGCCCTGGGACAGTGGCCTGAACCCTGGGTCACCACGCTTACTCCACCCAGTGCAGAATTCTCCAGCGCCCAGCCTTGCAGAGGCAACGCGGCTCTGACAGGACCTGTAATCTCTTCCTGCCACTTCTTTGTCATGCAACCAGCCCTTGCCTTCAAATCTCTCAAAATCCTCTTCCCCAGAGGTCGCTGCCCTGGTCCTCGGAGCAGGCTGTGGACATGGACTGACTCTGCCGAGCTCTTCCTCCTCTGTGTACCGAGGCCACAGCCCCCACTCCCATCCCCAATGCAGGCTCTGCCTGTGCTACTGTCCCTTGTCCTTCCCCTTATCAAGCCCAGGGGACCCCGTAACCACACGCCCTCCTCAGGGCCTTTTCATTGGAATTCCCACACTCTGCATTTCTAAAGGACTGGTGGAAACCGCAGGGTTCTTCTGAGCAGTGAGCTACTGGAGTGAATCGAAATCACACTTGCTTCCTCCACATCCCACCTGCAGCCACATTTGTCAGGAGCGCAGCTGCTGCAGAAAGCGTCTCTGGAGCTTGGGAAGCAGGCGCGGGGCCACTCTGAACTCCCCTGTGCTAATCACACCCCATTTCTGCATCCTGCGGGCACTTTGGTCGGACCCTTTCGATATCAAACACTGATCAATTGTAATGAACGGCACTGTTCCCACACAGGACCTCTAATGACTACTGAGTTCTTATGAGGAGTGCCTCGTGCTTTGCAGCATCTAACGTCTCGACAGTGACCTGCTAGTTCCTATCCAGCTCGTCAGCAGATCACGGTCACAAACCCTGGGAGAGGTGGGCTTGCCATGCCACTGCCCCTGCTGATTCTCCATCCAGCGGCCGCCTCCTACTGCAGGGCACCGCCGCTCCTTTCTTGGGTCCTGGCATGGCTCGTGGCAATTATCTCCCCTACCCCACCCCCACAACTGACGACATGTTTCCTGTGTGAGACTCTTTGTCTCCCGAGAAGCAGACACCAAGACAGGATGAGAGACGGATTTTATTGGGAAAAACACCTGCAGGAGAAAACGGGTGAGCACTGGCGGCAGCTGGGAGCACACACTGCCCCGCGGTCCGGTCTGAGCCTGCAGGAAGCGGGTGCATCCTGGGGGCTGCAGGTGGGGGCATCAGCTGGGAGGTGCTGGGGCCACTCGGGTGGCTCACACAGCTCAGCAGGGCAGGCCTGCAAACGGTCCACGTGTGAGCCACTGGTGACGTGAGGTCGGCTGTGCTGCCCCCCATGGAAGCTGGCCAGCCCAGGCGGGGGGGCACTTTACTTCCCAGAACCGGCCACCGTTACTCCTGCCAAACCAGCCCTCAGCAGGCTCCCATGCCTCCCAGGACAGGGCCTGCCTTGGTGCCCCCTGCACCCAGGACCGGTAGGAAGTCTGTGGGAAGCGTGGGTGATTCCCGCAGCAGCAGCAGGGCCGTCGATGAGGCTGCCATGGTGGCTGGGGGTGCGTGAGGCTCAGTTTCATGGCCTCCACTCACACTCTCAAAACAAAGCCCCAGTTCCTCCCCTCGGTGCCCTCTGTGGCGGGGCCCCACCACCTCTGACCTTGTCTCCTGAGCTTCCGTCCCCTGCACAGGGCTGTCCTGGCCGTGCCATGCACCTTGTCACCCCAGGCCTGATGCCAGCTGACTGTGTCACCGGCTCCCATCTGCAGCTTCCTCAGTCCTCGCTGCAGGTGTGAGGGGCACTGTGGCTCCCAGGAGGTGATGCTCAGCACATGGCTTGGCGGAGACGGCCCGTGATGGGAGAAGGGCTCTCTGGGCACCGGGGGCAAGACTGCAGCCAGGCCTGGCACTGGGCGGGATGGCGGCCTGGGAGACACACGTGTCTCTATTTCTGTCTCTGTCTCTTTGTCTCTCTCTCTTTCTCTTTCTGGGTCTCTGCCTTGGTCTCTCTGTCTCACTCTGATTCTGTCTCTGTCTCTGTATTTTTTTCTCTCTTGGTCTGTCTCTGCTTCTCTCTTCTCTGTCTCTCTGTATTTTTTCTCTCTCTCTATTGGTCTGTCTGTCTCTGCTTCTCTCTATCTCTGTCTCTCTGTATTTTTTCTCTCTCTCTCTATTGGTCTGTCTGTCTCTGCTTCTCTCTATCTCTGTCTCTGTATTTTTTCTCTCTCTCTCTATTGGTCTGTCTGTCTCTGCTTCTCTCTGTTTCTCTGTGTCTCTGTTTCTCTTGGACTCTGTCTGTCTGTCTGACAGGGTCATCAGAGCCTGAACAAGCCCCTCTCCCAATGACTTTCCAGGTGGTGAAAGGCCTGCAGCAGGCACCCTGGATGGGATCAGCTGCTCCGCTCCATGAGGCTCCCAGTGCCATCTCAGCAGGTAGCTGATGTGGCCTCTCTGTCACCTCCAGGGCAGCCAGTGCCCCTCACTGGAGGCCTCTGGATGCGAGAGAATTCCCTGCTCTTTGTTCCTGGCGTTCTTCTTGCGGGGACACGCCTCCTCTGTGCTTCTGGATGGCAGGGAGGTCCCACGTGCTCCACAAACGCCCTGGACGAGGCTCGAGTGGATCATAGCGTCGGCTGCGGAGTTCACTTTGTCTTCCGTAGTCGCTCATACTTACGCAGTGGCACAGGCTTCTGGCAGGCTATGTGTGTGAATCCTGTTTTTCTGAGAATTTATTCCTTCAGAGAGGCTGGAGATGAAGGCCCCCAAGGTCTAGGAAGAAGGAAATCCCTGGGAGGGAAATCCATGCACTTAAATGGTGCTTGTGGAAACTCTGACTTCCAAACGCCACTGCTCCCCATCCCGCTCCTTCCTTCCTGCAGCAGCTGTGGAGCAGCCAGTGGAGCATCACACGGCATCCAGCCAGGGGTCCGAGCCCAAGGTCCAGGCCAGGGTCTGCTGCCCACCAGCTGTGGGCCTGGGCAAGAGCGCGGTCCCTGCCCGTCTGTGTGCTCTCAGGTTCCTCCTCTCTTTCTGGGAGCTGCCCTGCTGTGGGAAGCCTGACTGAACCTGATGCCTCTAAGCCCCTCACACAGGTTCCATGGGAAAATGAGGCTAACCTGGTTTATTTGTTTTATAGCCTGTAAATACTGACTGGTCCTTGTGTCTCAGGAATTCTTTTTAAAAATGCAGTGCACTTTTATTTTTTAAGAAAAACCACAGCAAAATTTAGGGTGGGCCTCAGGGGCCTACAGTTGCCTTCAGTTTATGGCTGTGGACGGCAGAAGGGGCTTGACTCTTACTGAACTAAGGCAGAAGAGAGAGGTTCTTCATAAACCCCAAAGAATTCATCTTCTTAGGAGGAGGCACAGGCACCCCAGAGCAGTGGGACGGGGCTCCCTGCCTCCCAGCCCCTCCCTGGATGGCCTCCTGCTCCTGTCTGCCCAGCAGCCCTCCGCCTTCTCAGGCGATGTTTATTCATGGCCACGCTTGCCTCCGCACAGGCTTATTCCTGCAAACCCTGCCAGGGTTGTTAAGGAACATCTAAAAGGCGTGAGGCCCTGAGCTTTGATCCGGCTGCTTAATTGCCTTTACTAATCACACCAAGATCAAGAGGATAAAAATAGCCTCCAGGGTCGGGCGGAGAGAGTCACCTTGATGGGGTTTTGAAGAACAGCGAGGAGACAGTTCTGATTCACTCCCGGTGGCGGCCTGAAATCATCACTTTAATTAAATAAACTCACCTTAGCTACTAGAGCTATGCAAACAACTTGACATGAGGCTTTAGATTATTTACTTAGAGAGAAGCAGAAAGAAAATAGGAAGGCACTTCCTGGACAGATTTCAATTGTTTTCATAAGTGCTCTGTCCCCAAGCAAAATGAAGCATTTCTCCCTCCTCTTCTCTCTCCCTGCTTGCTCTTACTCTCCCTATCTTTTCTCCTCCTTTCTGCTCTCCTCTGTGTCTATTTCTCTCCCTTCCTCTCCCCCTCCCTTTCTTTCTGTCCCTCTCAGGTTCTGTCTCTCTGTCCCCCTCCACCAGCGTTTTATCTTAAAACAGAATTTTTGATTGAGAGGCTTGTGTTTTCTGAGTATTTGCCTTCTCGTTTAGGGATATTCTCCTGGTCACCTCTCATGGTCTTTAAAGCCTGGCTTGAGTATCCCCCACTGCAGGAAGGCTTCCAGAATGACTACCATGGCTTTCCAATAAATTTCTTGTCATTTATCTCAGCCCTTGTGCAGTCACCCTTTATAGTTGTAAACCAAAAAGTGCCGGAGACAGGCCTCAATCAACTCCGAGGTTTATTCTGCCAGCATTCAGGATGTGCCTGGGGAAAAGGAACATGAAACCTCAGGAACAACCTGAGATCTGATTTTTCCAAAGAGGATTTTGATTTAGTACTGAAAGGGGAAAAGCAGGCAGGAGGGGAAGGGGAGGGGGTGTGGTCACATGTCTGAATCCACACGTCGCCTTGGAAAGCAGGGGTACAGGAATCATCCATCATGTATTTGTCTGGTGCTCAGCACATCTTTGCATAAGATAAAGTCAGCAGAAGAGCAGCTCCCCGTGGAGACCCCCGGCCTGTTCTCTGCAGCGATTTGCTCTGGAGCAGAAGGAAAGGCAGAGGCTTGCATGCCTCAGCTCCCAGCTTAGCTTTTCCCTTTGGCAGAATGAACTGGGTCCTGAGATTTTATTTTCCTTTCACCTGACTGATTTTAGGGCTTCATCTGTGTATTTCCTCTTTCCAAATAGGTCTGCGCTGCCTCAGGTCTGAAATGATGTCTTCTCTCTCCTGTTTTGTGAGCGGCTCGTTCTGCTGTCAAATAGGCCCTTTCCCCAGGACCCTTGGGGTCCAGGTGAGTGGAGCAGCCTCCCACACGGGAAGCCCTGAGTTTTCCCCATCTGGGCCTTTCTTTCTGTCCCTGACATCCAGCTGGTCACCAGATCCTGGCGGCTGAAAGTCATTCTCAAGTCCAGCCTCCTTGACCCACCGCTGCACCTCGGTCCACGTTCCTGGATGTCAGTCTCTCACTGAGTGCGACGTGTGGCTTGCGTCTGCGGCTGAGAAATCCTTTCAAACGCATGCCTTCCCCTGTTATATCCAGCATAGGATCTGACCCGGCAGGACCTCAGCAAAGACTCGTGGCTGCTTTCAGAGTGGACACCTGCCGTCACGTTTTCCTGAGCATTTCCCTATGCTGCCGGCGCACTGGGGAGCTCTACTCAACCCACAACGGACTGCAGATCTTTTGGCCGCTGCATTCACAACTTTGTCCCGAGCCGCTCCGTGGAAGGCATCCTGGAAGTCTATCGGTCTTCCCACGAGCGTTCAAGACTCCCAGATCCCCACGGGCCCTGATACCATCTCTGTCTGAGCAGCTGCCCGTGTGTGCGGGAGCACCCTGCCTGAGGCGGAGGGAGCACAGCATCCGTTCGGAGGTGGGTGAACCTTACGTGTTCTGCACAGGGCTTGAGGTAGGTCTTGGAGAGCAGCCCTGGCCCCTCACCAGGGGACAGTAGGTGGGGTTCTAAATTCTGAGTCATTCATCTCCTCTTCATATGTCTGAATTATTCATATATTCCTTGTGGTTTGGATGCTAGTCTATGAATATGTAGGCAAATTGTTTATTATGGCATTTACAGGGATTTTGCAAAAAAGTTATCCAGAAACCCTTTAGATTCAGTGGTTGAATTTAACAAATATCTACTGTGCACCCACTCTGTGACAAAAATTGTGATTGGTGTTAAGGATATAATGATGAATAAGATAATAAGCACCTGCCTTCAGTGTGCTCTGGGGTTAGCAGGGAGAATACACAATCCAGCTGGTCTACAGAGACTGACTTATTATCAACGTTTATCACAGAGTGTGGGAAATATGAGCTAATCGTATGTCAGATAATAACATGACCACGCCAAAACCAAACCAAATCAAAACAGGTCAAGAAGCCAAACCAACAAACCAACCCCAGCACCACAACAGAAACTAACTCAAGTAACATTGAACGTGGAACCTTGACCACAAACCTTGACCTGCAGACAAAATACCTGCAAACAAATATCTGCAAACTCGACTTGTGGGTTTGCTTTCACTTTGGTGCAGGGCAGCAATTCTGTAATGATTTTCTGTCTTGTAGGATTGAGCAAATACAAGATTCCATCAGTGCTGTTGGAAGCCAGGATTCTCGTTTTTGGAAAAGGGAGATTTTCTTTCTTTCTTTTTTTCCTTTTTCCCTCCCTCCCCCTCTGCCTTCCTCCCTCCCTCCTTCCCTTCTTTCCTTCCTTCCTTCCTTCCTTCCTTCCTTCCTTCCTTCCTTCCTTCCTTCCTTCCCTCCTCCCTTCCTTCCCTCCTCCCTTCCTTCTTCTTTTCTGTCGAAGCACTTACAATCTCCTCACATACTATATAATTTACTTGTTTATCATGTTCCCCATTTGGTGTCTGTCTTCCCCCCGGGGGCAGGGCTGTTTGCTGCTTCATCCAATATGTGCTCATGATCTGAGTACCTGCAATCGTAGGCGTGTGCATATCTAGTGAATGATGGGCAATGATGGTGGAGATGCAGATTAGGACCAGGTCACGGGGAGTACTGGATCATGAGAGTGACCACATTTGGATTTCAGCCTGTTGGAAAATGAGATGATGCTGAAAGTGGTGAATGGGCTGCAAGGTGATGAGAGCTGTAGGCTGGGGCAGTGCACAGGACCTGAGGCAGGGGTGTGGTCGGAGGCTTGGGAATCCAGGGGATTTGTTACAAGTGATGGGAACCTGACTCAAACCAGCCTGAGCAATGAAGACAGTGACCTGTCCAAGGGCACCTTTGGTTTGGGTGTGGCCGTGCCCAGGACCTGCTCACCTGGGAGGAAAGGAGAGGGAGAGCGTTAGGACAAATACCTAATGTATGTCATGTTGGCGACTCCGTGAACTCGAGGGCCAAGCCCAGGTCTCCTTGTCTCTAAGAAGGGGTTCAGAAGCTTGACCTTGGTGGGGGTGAGCAGCGAGAGAGCGGGCGTGTGCTGGGCCCAACACATGACTAGTGAGAGGGTTGGTGTGCCCTTGAGCTCACATGTGCCTCCTGCCCTGCACAGGACACTCCCTCCTAGAGCCCAGCCAGCCCGGCAGGAAGGCAGGGCATGTTCAGAGAGACAGGGGCTGAGTGGATTGAGGGCTGGCCCAAGTCACAGCCAGGGGTGCTCACTGAGGCCTGGTGGGCTGGACTTGGGGCAGAGCACCTAGCCGCTGTCCCTTCCTGGGGTTTGCAAAGCCCATCATCCCGCAGCGCATCACGCTGTGCTCTGCACCATGTGTGTCTGCACTCAGCTGTGGCCAACACTCAGCTGTGTCCTGGCATCCCCCGGGCAGCACCCAGCAAGACCCAGGCTCTGGGTGGATCTGGATAACCCAAGGGCACACTGGGGAAAGGCTGCCTTCCTTGCTATGGTTCCACAGCCCAGAGGATGAGTGAGCTCAGCTGTGATTACACAGGACAGGCCACAAAGCCAGTAGAATTTTCAATCAAAAAATTAACATCAATGTATGCTTACCATGGAAAATTTGGAAAACACAGGAAAGAAGAAAAAAAATTAAAATCACCTTTAGTCTTACCAGAGATAACCAATATTAACACATTGGCATATTTCCTTCTAATCATTTCTCAGAAGCCTATGTATGCCTGTGTGTTTTAGAAAATTGGGGATATACTGTAGATGCTTCTGGGGTTTGCATTTTAAACGTTTTTATATTTCAGGTATTATTCCATCATTTTAAATGGCTGCATTATATTTTGTCACACATCAGGGTCTATCAGAACTGATTTAACCTTCATCTATGGGCTTTCCAATCTTTCATTGTTTTTCACATTACTAAATGTGGGAGTGTTTGGGGGAATGCAATACGTGACTCAGAGAGGAAGGCAATGAGAAAACATTCTCTGTGTGCTTTTAGCAAAATTCCTATCAGCTTAAGAAAGAGTTCTAAATATGGTACACAGCAAGAGGCAGAGATTCGTTAGTAAGATGGCTTCTTATCACTCTTTTGAGGGTTTCTGAGACTCCCTTGGAGCGGAGTGAACAGAGGGCAGTTGGCGCAGGGCTCAGGAATGTTCTCTGGAGGGGCCTAGAGTCCTCACCTGAAGGTTGCCTGAACCTTCTCCGGGGCAGCGCGCGGCAGTGCACACACGTTCTGGGCTTCAGGGGATTAGGACACCTGGTGTCACTTCCCCAAATTTTCTCATCGGCAGACCTGTCTTTGGTCTTGGGATTCTATGGGGGCTCCCTAAATCCCGAATTTTTATGCAAATTGTAGCTCTTATGTTCATTTTTCTGTGTAGGCAGCACAATAACAGTCCGCAGATTCTGAAATCAGCCCGTGACCCCCGCATAGAAGAACCCCCATTCAGGCCCTCTTTTACCATGGAGGCAGGGTCACTGGGACGGTGGGTCCAAGCGCTCACATCATGGGGGTAAGTGGGGTGGGGCTGGAGAAGCTTCGGGAAGCATTAAGCTGCTTCTCCCTGAAGCAGTGGAGTTGGGGAGCCGTTCCCAAGAGGGACCCATGGGTGAGCCAAGGAATGCAGGAGGGGGTGCTGTGGGGAGGGGTTATGAGCCAGGGCGTCCAGTACGGGACGTGGGCAGAGCCAGCAGGCCGAGACCCCAGTGGCTTCGAGGACAACCACTGTACTACATCCAGGGACAGATGGGGACCTACGTCCTCACGGGGTATGGGCATTGCGGGAGTTCCGTGCCACGCTGTTCCACACCTGTGTGGCTTCACAAGGGCCTCCTTGTTTCTGGAATTTTCCTCCTGTGCCTTCATGGGTAGGTAGGTACTGGGGTGCCGGATCTCCACTGCAGCCTTTGTAGGGACTGACCAAGCTCCTCCTCCACTGGCTGAGAGACAGGACACAGGGCTGTGCCCAGCTCCTTCCCTCAGCTGGGGGTGCTCGGAGGCTGTCTGGCTCCAGAGCTCCCTGCGGGGTGGCTCCAGGCCTGGCAGGCCCAGGGCAGCTTTATTCCTCCCTCCCTGCACACCTGTTTCCTACTCTTCCCTTTATGGGCTGACTTGACTTCCATGGACCAACATTTATTAAGAACCTACTGTGTGCGTTGAGGTAGGTGGTTCCCTGACCTCCATGGATTAGGCGAGTGGAGGAACAGGAATTCAGACAAAATCCCCGTGAGACGCGCTCACTGCTACAGACACCCCAGCGTTTGGTGTGGTGGCGCCGCCCTTTTATTACATTTTATGCACCAAGCACTGGACCGAGGATGCTCCGGGAATGGCATAGCTGGAGAAAGTTAGATGAGGTCAAATTTTGAAAATTGCAGCTCATTTTTATACTCCGACTACAGCAAAAACCCCCTTTCTCTGGCTCGTTGGCTGATGAATAGAAAAGTTGTAAAGGTTGGAATGATTTAATAAAAATACATCTCTCTTACTTAAATTTCAAACATAAAAAGTACAGTTTCACTTTTCTTTTGAGCGTAGGGTGATTTTGGAGTTGGGGTCACTACTGACTAGGGCTTTCTGCCCCTTCTTGTGTAAATCTCACTCCTGATTATGATCTGGGACTTCTGCCAGGGTCTCTAAGTGGAATGACTGTGCCAGGGGAGTCCAAATGACTGTGACATCCTTGGGGTTGACAGACACCAACCGACGAGGGCACTAGGATGCTTTCTGAGTGCTGGAATGTTCTCTGTGTTGAACTGTATGGCCACAGGATCAGAATTCATCAAGTTGTACAATAAAGACTAGTCGTATGTCTTTTATGGCTCATTAAAAGATTTTAAAACAAGGTAGATTGAGAGTTAAAGATAATCTTAGGTGGAATTCCGCCTGACTTTTATGATTGTTTCCATCTTTTACTGGTGTCTCGCCCACACATAATACTGTATCTGGATGTGCATATTTTACGTATTTTTTAGAGACAGAGTCTTGCTCTGTCACCCAGGGTGGCACAATTGCAGCTCGCTGCAGCCTTGAACTCCTGGGCTGGAGTGATCCTCTCATCTCAGCTTCCAGAGCAGCTGGGACCATAGGCAGGTGCTGTCACACCCAACTGAATTTTTTTTTTTTTGTAGAGACAGGGTCTTGCTATGTTGCCCAGGCTGGTTTCAACTTCCTGGCCTCAAACCACCTTCCCACCTTAGCCTCCCAAAGCACTGGGGTGACAGGTTTGAACCACTGCTCCTAGCCCCAGTATATATATTTAGGCATGCTCTTTATTGAATCTTTCCAAAGTAGTTCATCTAAGTTTTCATAGAAACAGTCACTCATTCTTTTTGCACTGTTTCTGCAGTTGCTGTGTTGTTTAATTAGATTCCTCGATTGCAATAGGTTTTAGGAGCAAACATGACTAACTCCTGGGAAACACGTGGGACATGCTGCTCCCAGCCCCTAGCGCTCAGAATCCCCTGCGTATGGGTCAGCCAGCTCTAGGGGGAGCAAGAAGTTCTCTCCCCAGGCCCTGCCGGTCAGGAGCATCTCAGCCCCAAGTGAAGAACCACTGGGGGAGATCTGTTGACTGGTAAATAGCCCCTCATGCTCACTTCTGTAAATCTGGATCTTTACTGTGTGTGTGTTTTAATTTTATGAAACAGCTTTTATGGAAGGGACCAGCATGTCACCTCCTCACCGTTGACATGGGTCTCTGACGTCCTCTGCCACCAGAGTGTAGATCACAGACATAGAAGCCGCCAGCTCTCATCCTGGCTTCCCCATTAAACTGCGGTGTGGCCTCAGCTGAGTCACTATATCTTGCCTCAGTTTATTCATCTATTAAATGGGAATATGAGCATTACACTCCCACAAATGATTGTGGTGAATATTGATAATAAAACAGGCCTCACCCAGATGGAGCCTGGGCCCGAGGGCTGCCCACTCTGGGCTCCTTAGCATCAGGAGGTCACAGATGTCTCCAGTGGACCACTGGAGAGCGTGAGGGTGCTGACGGAAATAGGCTCCTCTTGTCACTGCACTGCTCCCACCGGGGCCTTCACCAGGAATGAGCTTCAAGGTCAACCAAAGCGGAGAAAGAGGAGAGGGAATGAGGAAGAACATAGAGGACTGTGAGGCAGATCCAGGGACCAATGAGGCACCCAATGCGTCCTCCCCACTGACTGCCTTGGGTGGCGTTGTCCAGTTTCTGAAGGATTCTCTGCAAGGCCTGGCCCCAAAAGGAGGCTTTCTGAATACATTCACAGATGCTTTCACTGGAAAAAACAGTACTACAGGCAGAGACGCAGCTGTCATATGCGGTATTGTCAGGAGCTGGATTACGTCCCCTCCAATTCGGGTGTTGCAGCCCTAACTACCAGGACCTCAGAATGTAACTGTATTTGAAGATAAGGTCTTTGCAGAGATGATCAAGTTAAAATCTCCGAGTCTAGTGGGGAGGAGAACCTGGGGAAATGAACGGTGATATCTGGATGAGGAAGTTTGTACTGGACAGATGAGGGGGCCCTAGGCCTTGAGAAGTCCCCGTCCAGGAGCTGGGAGCCCCCTTAGGAGGCTCATATGAGAGCGGGGATCCAAGGTCCCAGCTTCACAGGGCCACTTGGGGCAGAAACAGCCCAAGCAACATCATTCCTCACCTGTCAATGCTGGGGGGCAAATGAATATTTAAGGGAACATTTACATTAATCTGCAAAGGACAGCTGTGAGGTGGGTAGCGGCTGCCAGGGAAAGTAGGGGATTTGGAGGCTGCTGAGTCAGATGTGACGATGGAGGTCACAGGATCGTTTCTACGAGGCAGTTTGCCTCTGATAAATATTATATAATAAATAATATAAATATATGTATATATTATATTTATAATATGATAAAATATAATGTATAATATAATAATATATATTACAAAATATAATATATACTATATTATACTATATATTATATATATATTATCTATATAAAATATAATATATACAATATAATATAGAATATAGAATATGTTATATATAATATATGTATTATGTATTAGAGATGATCAAGTTAAAATCTATTATATATGTATTATATAAGATATACCTATATAAATATATTATTATAAGTAATATATAATATATTATATAATACATTATAACAATATATTATATTATTATGTTATAATATATTATGTTATATATAAATAATATATTATGTATAATTATTAATATTCTCATCCGCGGTATATTCTTTCTTATCTCCCTCAGATGTTTGAGGACAATACATAAAAATGCACGATTTCAAACCACTGCTGCATTTTTTTTTTGAGACGATGTCCTGCTCTGTCGCCCAGGCTGGAATGTAGTGGCACAATCTCGGCTCATTGCAACCTCCTCCTCCCAGGTTTAAGTGATTCTCCCGCCTCAGCCTCCCAAGTAGCTGGGATTACAGGTACGCACCACCATGCCCAGCTAATTTTTTTTATTTTTAGTAGAGACGGAGTTTTGCCATGTTGGCCAGGCTGGTCTCGAACTCCTGACCTCAGGTGATCTGCTCGCCTTGTCCTCCGAACACTGCTACTTTTAAAATCTTTTCTATTTTCAAGCAGCAGCAGCTGCTGGCAGGTTTTTCTCCAAATGACCTTTATTTTGCATCTAACAAAGTGGATGGCTTTCTGGGAAAATTCCTGACGTGGGTGCGGGGGAACCAGTCGGGCAGGTCCCTTCTTCCCGCAGGGTCCTTGTTTCTCCCCCCAGTTTGGACTCCGCCTGGGAACCAGGCAGTGCCCCCACTGGACACCAGATCCACTTTTCTTGGAAGCCCTTGGGCTTAACAGCCTGAACTTGATTTTGTCAGTATTACGCTGGCAAAGCTGTTTTATTGACTGACAACGTGGAATCCAATAAATGTTCAAGACATCCGCACCCAGTAATCGTTTCCTCTGTAGGCAGGTTCCCAGGAAGCCCATGACCGCTCAAGGTCCTCTCATGACGAGGACGCCACCTGAAACAGTCGGCTGCAGTCGCCGCCGTCCTCCGGCTCCCACTCTGCTGGGGTCTCTCTGCTGACCCGGCTTCCCCAGCACCTCTGGTTCTTCCGTGTCTCTCCACTGTCTCTCCCTGTCTCTCCACTGTCGTCCTCAGTGCCAGCCTGTCTCCCACGCCAGCTTGTAAACTCCAGGGTGGCGACTTTGTCTCATTTTCTTTTGTGTTCTCAGCACCTGACCTGGGCAGCCCGGGAGGCAGCTGTGTGAGGGTGAGGTCTGCTCACGTGCCTACCCTGTGATGAGGTGTCCTGCTCACCTGTGGGGTCATGCAGGGCCGCTGCTCCCCTAATGGGATCCCATAAACGGTGCAGAGGTTGTCTCGGGGGCCCTCGCAGCCGCAATGTGGTGCCTCCGCTGAGCGTCACCCAGAGGGCAGCAGTGAAGGAGGGGCCGAGCTCTCTACCTCCTGCTCCCACTCCTCGCTCTCTAACTTTTCCTGCTGCCGTTCTCTTCCTGGGGCTGGGCCTGAAGCCTGAAACCCCGGCATCATTATCCCTGCAAACTCATCTCTGTAAACGCCCACGCAGGCGTTCTCCCTCCTCCCACCCACGGACTCCCACTTAGTCCAGCTCTTACCTGGGTTCTTGCAGAAACTTCCTAACCAGTGTGTCCAGGAAGCACTTCAGATGTTTTCTCTGCTGCTTCCGGTTATCTTTTAGATCAGAGATAGGGGGAGTCAGGCCCCATTTAAACGTCTCCTGGAGCCGAGTGGGAGGGCAGCTCTTGGGCGTTGCCCGGGCTGTTGGCTGAGGGAGCAGGGAGGGGCAGAGACACGAGCTGGAGCCCGGGACTCAAACATTGGGTCTAAAGAGCTATGGAGGCCCTGACGGAGCATGTGTTTATGGGGGTTGAATGCAGCCACGATGCCACATTAGAAATCACCAACGAGAAACACTAGACATTAGAAATCACCAACGAGAAACACTAGACATCAAAACTAAGAGCATTTAAAATACCCATTAATTCATTAAAACAATCATAAACCTGTTATATGTCAACGTAAATACCTTATGACAAACAGCTGTATTTTCCAAAACAAAAAGCATTTAGGGGGCGGCGTGGCATTGTCTTTGTGTCTGCAGAGCTCTCGAGTGTCTGACTCGGAAGAGTTGGATTTTCCTGCCTGCTCCTGCATTCCACCTGCTTGCAGAGCAAGGAGACAGCTCCGTGCGACACAGACATGCAGCTGGCAAAGTGGGTCCCTCAGGGGGTTTCGGGGATGCCAGGGTCCAGGAGCCTCGCTGAGAGCTTCCAATATGGTCTCGAAGGTGCTCAGCAGAGCCAGGGCAGTCAGGGAGCTGGGGAGCCGGACTTGGGGGCTGGGTGCCCCCTCCCTCATCCAGAACAGCCCCATTTGTATCAGATACATGTCTCGGGCTCCGAGTCAAACGCTGTGTGTACAATAAGGTGGACACGCCTGCTCTAGGGCCTGGGGCTACACTGGAAAGGTGAAGCTTTGGGATGGGATGGTGGAGGGGAACCACTAGGGCCCTGGGAGATAAGGGCAAGAGGCCTCAGGTGTGCCCAGGTGGGTGAGCCAGGGCGTCTGCAATGCTGCTGGTCCAGTCCCAAAGCCAGCACAGAGGCCCTGCTACCTCCACCTGCTGACCCCAGCTGGACTCCAGGAATCGCTCCTGGCAGCAGCAGGGAGTCCTGTGGAGCCAGGGCACAGAGCCACGTGGTGCAAGGGTGGCTGCTGCCAGGAGTGGAGAGGTGGCGTGCACACGGGTGACCTTGGGTACACAGGTGCCGTGTGCACACACAAGAGATGGTTGGCCCACGGGATGTTGCTATTCCTCCACCTCCCCAGCGCACTTGGTCCACATACCTGCCCTGCTGCACCTGGTGCCACACCCTTGGGAGCACTGCCGAGGCCCAGAAGTCCTGGGCATGAGTGTGGCCTCCTGACAGGTGGGGCTCTGGCTCTCATCTGGGAGCACAGCAGAAGCTCTTGTCTGGGAGCATGGCTGTCCAAGCCTGTGGAGAGTTGTCCTCCAGAGCCACCTCTTGCTGGAGGCAGAGCGCCTGCAGCAGGATGTGGGCCTCACATCTCAGGGCCTTGGCCTCCCTCGTGCTTACCCCTCCCACAGGCTCCTCTGCCCTTGCCGTCCTCACCTGGACCCTCTCCGAGATCCCCGAGTGTGCATCCCTTCAGGAGCCACTGGCACAGTGTCTGTTTCTTGCCTCGCTTTCCTCTCCAGGGTATCCCCTGCTGCCCTGCATGAGGCTTCTTTACCTGCTGTCTGTTCACCCCAAGGCGGGAGCTTCCTGAAAGCTGGAGCACCGACGGCGCGGTCCCTGCAGAGTCCCCAGCACCCAGTCAAGCCGCTGCGAGGAGGACTTGGGCCTCAGGATGCACGTGCAGCCATGGAGACCCCACGGGGCGGCCACTCGGATGATCCTGGCCTTCTGGGTGGTCCCTGAGGGTTTGTTTCTTTCTGGGACTTTCTAACAGGAGGCCTTGTTCCTTGCCTCCGACTCAGCTGTGCCTGTGGCTTCCCCAGGGGGTCGGAAGTCACCGCTCATCCGATGCTGGGCGTCCTCCTCCCCCACCTGCACAGCCCCCGGGGCTCCAGAAAATTCCACCTCAGCCTGACAGGGCTCTCCCTCCCCCACCTGCACAGCCCCCAGGGCTCAGCCTGACAGGGCTCTCTCCAGGCTGGTGCGGGTGGGGATAGGCCTGAGAAAGTCTTTTCCGGGTCACAGGCAGCCCTGAGCACACGCTGCGCAATGCACCCACCCCACCCACTGACCTCAACCCTTGACCCCCGACCCCTGACTCTGGGGACACGGGACCCTCCCTTCAGGAGGTCTGGCCTCACCTCACTGGCTAGTGGCCCCCAAAAGCAGGAGGAGCCAATGTTCACTCCACAAAGCCCTAGGCCAGAGGCCAGGAAAGGCACCCATAGGGCCTGGGGTGAGCAGGGAGAGGGGGAACTCCATGGTGAGTTTGAGGATTAACCACCCTCTCCGTGGTGGGTGTGGTGGCTGCCACAGTCCAAGCACAGGAAAGCAGGAGAGGGAAGCCCGGCCCCTCATCTGAGTGAGGCAGCCAGGGCCCTAACTGGGCTGAGCCAGCAGCAGGATCGCCCACCAACAGCAGAACCCTGATCCCAGACTCGGACACCAAACCTCAAGGGCAACCCCCAGCCTTCCACCCTGTGTCTCCTCCCCACTCCGCTGGGCGGTCCCCCTTCCCTCCTTATCCCTTCCCCTCCCCTCCCTCTCCCTTCCCCTCCCCCTCTCCCCCCAAATCCCCTCCTCTGTCTCCTGCTCCTCCCAGAAGCCTCTTCTCACCCGAGGGCCCTCCTTCAGGCTCTTAGCCCCACAGCCCTCACCCGAAGACCATCCCTGGTTCAAGGCCAGCGCTGGAACACTGGGGTGCTCAAGGGCCCTGGGCCCTGGTGAGGGTGGTATGTGCCAGCACACCCGGAGCCACCTGTGCAGAATCCCCCCAACCTCTGGCCACTGAGTCTACCTGGCGTCCTCTGGGGAAGGTGATGCTGCGTTCCACGGGGTGCTGAGAGAGGGGAAGCCTCCGGGGCCCTCTGCCATCAAGGGGCACATGCAGATTCCCTTAGTTGCACTGACTCCAACCTGAGCACCTACCCTCCCTCACCTGTACCATGAGGTCCCAGAGGGCGGGGGCTGAGGGTCATCCCTGTCCCTCCAGGATCTGCACTCAGTGCTGCGTGCTCGGCTGTGACTCCTCAGCCATACTCACCGTGCCCAGCTCACCGGACAGACAGGACCCTGGGCTGGGCTTCTTTGCAGCCCTTGTGCTTTGAGCCTAGAGCACAGCCCGCAGGGGAAGCTGCCTGCGTACATAACACCCTGGATACCCCGACCTTTGCAGCCATCTGAGAGCCTCAGGCTCACACTCACCCAGGAGATGTCACCACTGTATCTTCTGCAGAGCTGGAGTCAGCAGCAGTAGCAGCTTAGAGCTTTAGACCAGCGAGCCACAGTCAGTCCTCCTCAAGGGCCTCTCACCTTGCGTGTTGTTCTAGGGGTCCCCAGAGAAATAGAACCGAAAGGATATATAGGATATATGCATAGAGAGATTGATGATGAGGAATTTTTCATGCCGCTGTGGAGGTGGAGGCTGTCAAGTCCAAAAATCAGCAGTCGGCAAGCTGGAGGCCTGGGCGAGCCACTGGTGTAAGTTCCAGTCTGAGTGCAGAAGACCGACAGCCCGGCTTGAAAACAGGCCGAGAGCGCCTTCTCCCTCGCCAATGCTTTTTGTTCTCTTCAGGCCCCCAACTGCTTGGAAGAGGCTCATCCACACAGGGAGGGCCACCTGCTTTGCTCAGTCCACTGATTCAAACGCTAATCTCATCCAGACACACCCAGAATAATGTTTAACCAAATATCTGGGCACCCTGTGGCCCAGTCGAGCTGACATGTTAGAATGAACGCACACGCTGGTAAAGGCTGCCTGGGCTCCTCCCACTCCCGGGCATCAGGCCTCGTGTACTCGGTTTTACTGACTCCATTTCACTGATTTTACTGTCTCGAGGACAGTCCTCCGTGGAAGTTCTGTCACTGTGGGTTCTCCGTGAAATTGCCAGCATTTGGCCTGAGTGACCTCCTAGCTCTCTGCTAGCCAATGCTGGTCCCACGGTGCCTCTGAGCATGGCAGGCATGGTGGGGCTGTCCCTCTGCAGCTGCCGGCCAGAGTGTCGGGTCTGAGAGGCCTCGGGCTGCAGGCTGGGAGACGTTGCAGGGAGCTTACCTCCGCTGAGCCTCACCCACAGGATTCTTTGATGGGACCCCACCTCCATGGTCCCAGTTTTAAGGTCATCTGATTGTTTTTATGACTTTACTTTCCCCAGAAATTTGCTTCCAAGCAGGTCCAGCTGAAATCAGCACCTTTTAAAAAGTCAATCCGAATGAAAAACGGTGTTTTATTTTTTAGGTTTTACCACTTGCAAACCTGAGGCCACCCCCTGCTCTGTCCTTCCGGATATACAACAGCGGAGCCATGAGATGGCCGCAGCAAAGGGGTCTCCGAAACGACCTAGTGATCCAGGAGTTAAGAAGGAATTACTTAGGCAGATAGCAAGGGTATGGGAGTCCTCCGTCAGGCCTTCCTTTTTAATGAAAAGCAGCCCCAAATCATTTTCTAACAAAGAGCAGCCTGAGAGCTGGGAGCTTGCATGGGTGAACAGCGGCCGGAACTAAAGACTAGACATTTTCATTTATTTATTTTTTTATTTAGAGACAGAGTCTCGCTCTGTTGCCCAGGCTGGAGTTCAGTGGTGTGATCTTGGCTCACTGCGACCTCCACCTCCTGGGTTCAAGCAATTCTCCTGCCTCAGCCTCCCGAGTAGCTGGGATTACAGGCATCTGCCACCACACCCTGCTAAATTTTGTATTTTTAGTAGAGATGGGGTTTCACCATGTTGGCCAGGCTGGTCTTGAACTGCTGACCTCAGGTGATCCACCCGCCTCAGCCTCCCAAAGTGCTGGGATTACAGGAATGAGCCACCGAGCCCAGCCAGGGCTAGATATTTTCCAGATGGCAGTTCCATCTTCACTTCTCTGCCAGCCATGTGTTCTGTAAGGAGCAGACAAGATGGCCCCGATCAACTGGAAAACCCATTTGCATAATAGGAGCAGCCTTCTCCACGCACTGTGTAAACCTCACACCTGATCGAACCAATCTGTGATCCCTACGTAACTCAGACGCTGCCTCCTCAAATGACTGTACAACACCGTACATTCACCAGCAGTGGGTCCTTTCTGCTTGGAGACCCCTTCCTCCACAGAGGAAACTCTTGCTCTTTCTCTCTTCTACCTATTAAACCTCCGCTCCTATACTCCTCCTGTGTGTCCCTGTCCTAAATTTTCCTGGCAGGTGACAACAAATCCCAGGGGATCTACCCCAGACGATGTAGCTGCTTCATTAGGATACTGAGGCCCAGAGAGGAAATGAGAGTCTCAGGACTCATTCCACACCAGCCGGTCCATGGGCCATTCCCTCTGACCCACCCAACACAAGCTCTTCCCCAGCTGTTTGAAGAAGGGAAGGAAGTGAGAAATAAACTTTAAGCAGATATCAATGTCAATTGAGATAAACATCAAGCTTTATTGACTTAAGAGGTAAATATTGACAGAACTGAAATGCCAAATCAATATTTACCTCCAGGGATGCTATAGCCTGAATTTGAAGTTGGGTTATGTGCACGTCAACGCATCTCCAAGTCCCAACGTCTTCATCAGCAGTATGTGATCATTTCAGCAACGGGCTAAAATTGAAAGGTGTGGTGAGAGATTTCCAGAGGGTCCTCTCATGGAGGGCTGGGGAGAAGTTCATGATCACCATGAGGGGTCATCAGCACAGACCCGGAGGGTCAGCGTCTGAAAACTGCATCACTGGCACAGAATGACCGTGACCAAATTTGCTTCACTTTTTGCTGAGCACTCACCTGACAGAGCATAAGATTCCAGCCAGAAAGGCACTGAGCACCTGTTTGCCAGGCCTTGTCAGCATCTAGCTGTGCAGAGCCTGCACCAGCCCTGAGATCAGGAAGCAGAGAACCCATGCCTCTGGCCCGCTTGGCCTCTCAGCCACGGGAAAGACAGCCTTCACTGGGACAATGGCAGTGTTGTTCGTCGTTGGCTTACAAAGAGGAGTTTTAGAAGATGCCAAGGCCAAGAAAAGACTATGAGAGAAAAGAAACCAAAAGTTAAAATCAGGCAATTCTATCCACTAACTTCCCCTGCTGTGAATTGGGAAAAGTTGGCCCTGGGCCGTCTTCAAGGGGTGGGCCCGTACCCAGCCTCCAGCAACCTGGAGCCTGTCTGTGAATCTGCTTTGTTCCATCAACTATCCCTGATGGATAAAGACACTCAGGCTAAGGAAGCTGTCCTGCTCCCTCAGATTCCCAGACAGCCTTGTTTTCTGCTTCTATGCCTGGTAAGTTTTCCACTAGAGCAGTGATTCCCAACCTGGCTGTACATTAATCAACTGGAGATGCTTAAAAAAAAAAAAAAAGATGCCTCCATCCCACCATCTATTGCATGTGAATGTCAGTGGGGAATTTCCTGGGTGATTCAGTACACAGCCTTGGTTGAGATGAGATCTGACTCTCAGGCGCCCTTATCGTGGGATTGGCTGGAGAAGGGGCTCTTTTTCAATGCTCCCGAGCTGTATTTGCAAAGTGTTTTGTGGAAGGTCCTAAAACTCAAAGGGTCTTGAGCTAAAACCAGTCAGCACTGAGAGTTATCTGACACTTATGGAAGAGTTCCAGGGTGAGGACTTGGGTCAGCTGCAGGATGCTTGGATTGGAGGTCACGCCCAAAGAGGGGTCACCTGTGCCTTGTTCAATTCAGTGACCGCCAGGTTAAAGTGAGCATCCTGGGGGCTGCGGTGAACACTGGGGTGTGGGGCCCTCATCGCCTCATGGCAAGAGAGCTGCTCTGCCCAAGGCCATGTGCCCCTCAAGGAGAGGGTCCCACGTGGGGCAGCGCTGCAGACCAGCTGCATGCAGAACTCAGGCAATGGTGGCTAGTTTGATCCTGGTGGCCAGCACTGAGGATCATCGTTAACGGTGATGAATATAACCACACCTTTCTTGGCTTCCATGTCCCGGTCTGTGACATGTTGGGTGACTCCTAATGATCTCCAGTTCCCTTCCTGCTCTGCTGTCACTAGGACTGATCACACCAGTTTCCAGAGAGCGTGGTGACACGGTTGCTGTTGGAAGCAGCCCTGAGTGGCTTGGCCACCATTTCTGAGGGTGGGTCAGGCCTCTGGCCCATAGCGATCCTCTGCCCTCCTGCATAGTCATGCCTGTACATTCACGGAAAAATGTCTGGATGACACGTGACACAGCACTGGGCAATTAGGAGTGAGCCCTGGGGAAGGAGAAGATGGGGAAGGTGGTTTGGGGATTTTCACTCTTCTCCCTACATCTATCTGAGCCTAAGTTTTCTTATCTGTGAAAGAGTTCTGAGATTTTTCGTCACCAGATGTCTTTATAAAGAGTAAATGAGATCACATACAGGCCGGCCTTGGAGATATTGTGGGTTGGGTTCTAGACCATCTCAATAAAGTGAATACAGCAATATAGTGAGTCACACAAAATTTTTAGTTTCCCAGTGCAAATTAAAGTTATGCTTATACTACCTGTAGTCTCTTAAGTATGTGATAACAAGATGCCACTCCAATGTCTCCGGACATTGTCAAATGTCCACAAAGAGTCTGTGTCCAGCAAGGCCGTGGAAGTCAGACCTAGGACAGGAAGTAAGGTGTGCAGTGTTGGTAAATATCTATGCCTGAAATGGATATTTAAGTCTATGAACTGCTTTATTTATATTCTCAACTCTAATATTTAATGTTTGCACTATTGTTGTTTCCCCGAAATTCTGTAATTCACTTTGTATTTCCCTCTGACTCAAAAGTTGATTAATAAGGAATCATACAATGTATAGGTCGAGGGCCTTTTAGTTTTGTGACTTTCTTGTCAATTTCTAGTTTTATTGCATTGTGATTAGAAAATGTTTTCTGCATTATCTCTCCACTTTAGAATTAATGGAAGTTATTTGTGTGGTTTATTATTTAGTTAATTTTGCAAGTGTCCCATGGTCACTTGGAAAGACAATATAGTCTATGTTTTTAGGATTTAAAGTTTAGCATATATCCCTCAGGCATACTAAATTGATCATGTCATTTTTGTCTTTTATATTGTTACTCCCTTTTGTACATTTGCTCCAGTCTGGGCTGAGAGAATTTGCATTTTTCTATAACTGACCACTTGTGCCAGCCAAGATGGAATAAGTGCACTGCTGTCTACTGTCCCACTGGAAATGCTGAAAACTTGGGGGGGGGAACATAAGGAACAACTCCCTGAGCCCTCTAAAAAGTAAGTAATGACAAAAGGATTGGCAACTAATGTCAAAACTTGATAATAACCCCAAATGGGGGTGAGTTTTGCCTTTTCCCTCTTTCTTTGTCTGTTATCTCTGACCTGAGGGTGGGTTGAATCTCAGAACTGTGCAGTGGGCCCAGAAGACAAAAATCTGGGATAAAACCTCTCTTTCCAGCCAAAGGACCAGGAAAAGGGACCCCTGCATGCCAGGGAGTGTGGGGGAAGTTTTCACTCCCCCTTTTTTTTCCTCTCTTGATCCTGACCCAAGGGCAGCTCCACCTGTGGAGCTGTACCACTGTGCTGCTGGTCCTGGTGCTGGAAGCCCTGAAACTTTGATGAAAGACCCAACTCTCCAACCAGAGGAACTGGAAAAGGAGTGGGGTGAATCCCTGTTTATTTCTTCCTCTTTACTGTTGCCACTTGGCTCCAAAGATGGCCCCAGTCATGTGGAACTACATAATAGCACAAATAATTAAAAAGCTAAGAAAAACCTGATGTTCCAGACAGAAAAAACTGGAAAAAGGGCTCATTGTTTTAAAGATGTGGGGATAATCCCTGTTAATTTTTTTGTCCTTTCTTTTGCCACTGTATTCCTAAGGTAGTCCTAGTCATGCAGAGTTGCATGGCAGTGCAGGAAGCTAAATCTTGGAGATAACACTATCTTTCTGTCCAGAAGAACCAGGAAAGGAGGCCCCTGAATGCCAAAAATTGTGAGAGATATCCTGGAAATTGTCAGTGAACTTGAAGGTTAATCAATAGGAATTACACAGCCTGCAGATTGAGAGAAAAATTAAATTAAAAAAAAAACAAAAACAGAGCCTCAGGCACCTGTGAAACAATATCAAAAAGTCTAATACTCTTATTTTTGGAGTCTCGGAAGAAGAAGAGGAGGATACTGGTGCAGAAAAATATTGAAGAAATAATGGTTGTAAACTTCCCAGACTTGATGAAAATCATATATGTATAAGTTCAAGAAGGTTAACAAACTCTAAACAAGATAAACTTTAAAAAATGCATTGTAAATGAAAATCAAAGGTAAAGGAAAGACAATTAAAAGCAACCAGATTAAAACAGTATACTATGTATCAGAGAACGGTACTTTGGATAATTGCAAATTTCTCATCATAAATTATGGAAGCAGGAAGATGGTGGAACAACATCTGTAAATTACTGAAAGAAAATGATTGTCAACCCAGAATTCTATATCTAGCAAAAATATCTTAGAAATGACAGTGAAATAAAGACATACTCAGATTAAGGGAAAGTAAGAGAATGTGTCACTAACAGACCTACAAAAGAAATGCTTAGCCAAGTTCTTCAGGAAGAAGGAAAAATGATCTGGAGGAACACTTGGAACTTCATGAATGACATTAGAGCAACAGAAATGGTAAATATCAGGTAAATATAATGAATTCTTTTTCGCTTCTTAAAATATTTAAACTGTATCTGACTGTTGAAAGCAAATATTGTAACATTTTCTGGGTATAATTATTATTTAGATGCGGTACATATGACAACTACAACATAAAGAGGGGAGGATAAATGAACCAATAGAGTTGTAAGCCTTCTATAGTTTACTTGAAATGGTAACATATTAATTCTAAGTGGACTATAAAATGTTAAATGTATGTATTGTAATCCCTAGAGAAACTACTAATAAACGAATACAAAAAGATACAGCCAGAAAGGACAACGGATTATTTAAAATGGAATAAAAAATATATTCAAATAACCCAAGGAAGGCAGGACCATGAGAAGAGGGTAACACAAAGCAAAAGAAATGAACAAAATCTCCTGTAAATCATGTATTTTGCCTATTTTCTTTGTCTCCTCTGTAATTTCTGCTTTTTGAAAGCCTCTTTTACAATACTTAGTCTGTTGATATTCATGACTGCTAATTTTTTTTTTTGTAAATTATGAGGCAAAATGATTCAAAGTACCTTGATGTTATTTCATTTAATGTTTTTGTTTGGCTGAAAAACTACCTTGATTCATACAAGGACTGAGACCCCTGCTTTTGCTGTGCCTGTGCTTTGAGTTTCAACCTTTTAAAATAACTATGTTTTGGGTGAATCTCTTGAACACAATCATGGAATTTTACTTGATTCCTGATTGTACTAGGCATCCTGCAAAATGGCCCTCAATAATCCTCATCTCCTGGTCTTCACACCCTTATGTAGTCCCCCTATGATGAAGAAGAACTGGTCTGTGTGACCAACAGAATATGACAGAATTGACGGTGTGTTGCTCCTGAGGTGAGGATATTAAAAGCACTGCAGCTTCTCCATGGAACTCTTGGTTTCTTCATTCTGGGGAGAGCAAGATGCCATGTCAATGAGGACACTCCAAAAAACCGTGGAGAGGCTCATGTGGAGAGAAAGCAACCTGCCAACCAGGTGAGTGAGCCACCTTAGAAGTGAGTCCTCCAGTCCAGTCTTTGAGAGTTGCAGGTCCGCGGGGAACTGACTGCAGCCTCAGGAGACACCTGAGCCACAGCCACCTACCAATCCCTTTTAATCCCTTTCTGAGTACCTGACCCGTAGAGACTGTGAGATGCAACATAACGATTGTTGCTTCCAGCCACTAAGTTCAATGCTGGTTTGTTACACAGCAACATATATTTAACACGATAATACAATTTAGAAGTGTCTTCCATTTTAATAGGTGAGTTAAATTCTCAAACATTGGTATCTCTCTAGATTCCTCAAGTCTTTATATTTCTATATAGCTATGTCTCTATATATAAAGAGATTCCTCAAAAAATCATATATTTAAACAGCAGTTTCCACAAATGTATATACATACATATATCCTCATATAGATAGTGTATACCGATTATCTTTTACTATATAGATTATATATATATAATCTGCTATGTGGTCTTTTCCTATAAATCTTTTAAATGTTAATTATTTTGAAATTTAAGAATGTTTGTATTGTGTTCAAGTAGCTTTCTTTAGACTTATACCACTTTGTACATTTTTCTCATTCTTTAGGCAGTATCTGTTGGTTTCCTATGTTGAGTAACAATAAAATAATTCCTCTTCTCCTCTTCCTCCCTTTTCTGCTCCTGCATAACCTAGTGTTAATTTTAATTATCTTTCTTAGTGCGTATTGCTTTTGTACAATTATATATTCTTATGTAATTCTTTTGATTGATTGGTCTGCTTTAATGGAATCTTTTGCTTTCCAGCTATGACAATGAAGAAGAGAGTGTTAATTTATGTTCCGCTGTATTTTTCCTTTTAATTTTTGTTGGCTTATGGTTTCTGCATTGTCAAAGCATGAAACATTTATATTCTGTGCTTTCACTATCACCCTCTCTATTTCTGGCTGACATATGCAATTAAATACATTCAATGTTCTTGTTGCTAATTCTTTTGCCTAAGTTTTTCCACTTTGCTCTTGGTTCTTGCTCATCCTCTAGGAGTTCCCTCATGAAAGATTTATGTGCAAAATGTTTTCTGAAGTTCCTTTTTATTCCAAACAATTTGTCTGTGACCTTTATACATCAAAGACAGTTGGACTGGATAGAGAATCATTTACTCCACTGTATCGTGCTATTGAATGTGGTCTCAAGTTCATTGAGGTGAAGAAGTCTGGTGTTAATCTGATTTTTTCCTTCATGAGTAGTTTGATCTTTTTGTCTGGATGCCTAAAGAACTTTTCCTTTCTATTTAAACTCCATTAACTTAAGACATTTCAAAATCAATTTTATTTTTTATATTTGAGGTTTACAGCATAATGCTAGAAATACATATTGTTAGTAAAATGCTTACTGTAGTGAAGCAAATGCAGGCACATTTCATTTTATTGTGTTTCACCTTTATTGTTCTTCATGGACATTTAATTTTTTACAAATTGAAGGTTTGTGACAACCCTACATTGAGTGAGTCTATCAGCACCATTTTTCCAACAACATGTGCTCACTTCATGTATCTGTCACACTTTGGTATTTCTTGCGATATTTCAAACTCTCTCATTACTCTTATAGTGACCTGTGACTGGTGATCTTTGATGTCATTATTGTAATTGTTTGGTGTCACCACAAACCATGTCTATCTAAGAGAGTGAACTTAATCAATAAATACTGTGTGTCCTGACCGCTCCACTGACCAGCTTTTCCTCCATCTCTCTCCCTCTCCTTGGTCCCCCCTATTCCTTGACACACAATAATATAGAAATTAGGCCAATTAGTTACCAAACAATGGCCTCTAAGTGTTCAGGTGAAATAAAGAGTCACATGTCTCCCACTTGCAATCAAAAGCTAGAAATGATTTTGCTTAGTGAGAAAGGCATGTCAAAAGTCAAGAGAGGTTGAAAACCAGGCCTCTTGGGCCATCCAGTCAAGTTGTGAATGGAAACAAAAAAATTTTTGAAGGAAAGTAAAAGTGTTCCTTTTGTAACACATGAATAGTAAGAAAGTAAAACTGCCTTACTGCGGATATGGAGAAAGTTTGAGTGGTCTGGATAGAATATTAAACCAGCCACAACATTCCCTTCAGACAAAACCTAATGCAGAGCAAAGCCTCAACTTTCTTCAGTTCTATGAAGACTGAGAGAGGAGAGGAAGCTTCAGAAGAAAAGTTGGAAACTCCAGAGGTTGGTTCATAATGTTTAAGAAAAGAAGACATCTCCATATTATAATAGTATAACATGAAGCAGCAACTGCTGATGGAGAAGCTGCAGCAAGTTCTCCAGAAGATCTAAGATCATTGATGAAAGGGGCTCCACTAAACAACAGATTTTCAATGCAGACATAATAGCAAGGAAGGACATGCCATCTAGGACTTTCCTGGCTAGAGAGGAGAAGTCAATGCCTGGCTTCAAATCTTCAAAGAACAGGCTGACTCCCTTGTTAGGGGCTGATGCAGCTGGTGACTATAAGTTGAAGCTGATGCTCATTTACCATTCTGTAAATCCTAAGATTCTCAAGAATTGTGCTTTATCTACTCTGTCTGTGCTCTGTAAATGGAAAAACAAAGATGACGACAGTACATTTGTTTAGAGAACATGGTTTGCTGAATATTTTAAGCCCACTGTTGAGACCTACTGCTCAGAAAAAAGACTCCTTTCAAGATATTACCACTTATTGACAATGCACTGGTCAGCCAAGAGCTCTGCTAGAGATGTACAAGGAGATAACTGTTGTTTTCATGCTGGCTACCACAACACCCATTCTGCAGCCCATGGATCAAGAAATAATTTCAACTTTCAAGTCTTATTATTTAAAAAACACATTTTGTAAGGTTTTAGGTATCATAGATAGTAATTCCTCTGATGGATTTGGGAAAAGTAAATTGAAAACCATCTTGGGCCGGGCTTGGTGGCTCAAGCCTGTAATCCCAGCACTTTGGGAGGCTGAGACAGACGGATCACGAGGTCAGGAGATCGAGACCATCCTGGCTAACACAGTGAAACCCCATCTCTACTAAAAAATACAAAAAAACTAGCCGGGCGTGGTGGTGGACACCTGTAGTCCCAGCTACTAGGGAGGCTGAGGCAGGAGAATGGCATAAACCCGAGAGGCGGAGCTTGCAGTGAGCTGAGATCACGCCACTGCACTCCAGTCTGGGCAACAGAGCGAGACTCTGTCTCAAAAAAAAAAAAAAAAAAAAGAAAACCATCTTGAAAGGATTCACCATCCTAGATGCCATTAAGAACACTCATATTCATGGGAGGAGGTCAAAATATCAACATTACTGGGAACTTGGAAGAAGTTAATTCCAACCCTTATGGATGACCTTGAGGGGTTCAAGTCTTCAGTGAGGAAGTCCTTGCAGATATAGTGGGAAGAGCAAAAGAACTAGAATTAGAAGTAGAGCCTGAAGATGTGACTGAATTGCTGCAATCTTATGATAATACTTGAATGAATGAGGAGTTACTTCTTATGGAGTTACTTCTTATGGATGAGCAAAGAAAGTGGTTTATTTATTTTAATTTTTTTTTTTTTTTTTTTTTTTTTTTTTTTTTTTTTTGAGACAGCGTCTCACTCTGTCACCCAGGCTGGAGTGCAGTGGTATGATCTCGGCTCACTGCAAGCTCCATCTCCCGGGTTCACACCATTCTCCTGCCTCAGCCTCCCGAGTAGCTGGGACTACAGGCGCCCGCCACCACGCCTGGCTAATTTTTTTGTATTTTTAGTAGAGACGGGGTTTCACCGTGTTAGCCAGGATGGTCTCGATCTCCTGACCTCGTGATCCACCCGCCTCAGCCTCCCAAAGTGCTGGGATTACAGGCGTGAGCCACCGCACCCTGATAGAAAGTGGTTTCTTGAGATGGAATCTACCCTGGTGAAGAGGCTGTGAATATTGTTGAAATGACAACAAATAATTTAGAATATGCCATAAACTTAGCTGATAAACCAGCGACAGAGTTTGAGAGGATCGACTTCAATTTTGAAGGAAGTTCTGCTGTGGGGAAAATGCTGTCAAATGGCACTGCATGCTACAGAGAGCTCTTCGGTGAAAGGAAGAGCCAATTAACATGACAGACTTCATCGTGTTATTTTAGGAAATTGCTACAGTTGCCTCAGTCGTCAGCAGCCGTCACCCTGGTCAGGCAGTAGCCATCAACATCGAGTCAAAACCTTTCACCAGCAAAAAGATTGTGACTCACTGAAGGCTCAGACGATTGTTGGCACTTTTTAGTAATAAAGCATTTTTAAATTAAGTAATGTACTTTTTTTTTTTTTTTTTGAGGTGGAGTCTCTTTCTGTCACCCAGGCTAGAGTGCAGTGGTGCGATCTTGGCTCACTGCAACCTCCACCTCCCGGGTTCAAGCGATTCTCCTGCCTCAGCCTCCCGAGTAGCTGGGACTACAGGTGTGTGCCGCCATGCCTGGCTAATTTTTTTGTATTTTTAGTAGTGTCAGGGTTTCACCATGTTAGCCAGGATGGTCTCGATCTCCTGACCTTGTGATCTGCCTGCCTCGGCCTCCCAAAGTGCTGGGATTACAGGCGTGAGCCACCACACCTGGCCCTAAGTGATGTACTTTTAAAAGACATAATGCTAATGCACACTTAGTAGAATGCAATACAGTATAAACGTAACTTTTATTAATATATGCACTGAGAAACCAAAAAATTTGTGTGACTTGCTGTATTGTGATATTTGCTTTATTGTGGTGGTCTGGAATGAAACCATATTCCTTATGTCTGCCTGTAAACTTTTCTATCATCTCACATAGTTATTTGTGTGTGTGTGACAAGAACAACTAAAATCTACTTATCTAACAAAAATTCCAGTAACAATATGATTTGATTAACTCTAGTCCTCACATTGTACAAGTCCTAGACTTGTTCATCTCACGTATCCACTACTTGGTATTCTTCGATCTATTAACTTTTCTGAATTGTGTTACTGTTGACTAACCAATTTTCTCTCATATATGCAGATTCTATTTTTTTTCGTTTCAGAAAATTTTATTTTAAAATTTTGTTCTAATATTTAAATAAGCATCAAAATGTTGGTTAAAATATTTGTCTAGGGTTTTGGTTTTCTTCTTCAGAGACTCTGATTATGTATACGTTGGCTCCCTTTTACTGTCTTTTCCAGCTATCATTTTTGTTTCTTGCTGTTTTTTATATGTATCATTTTCATCTTTTCCCTATGTATCTCTGTTTCATTTTATCCACTTCTTTCATCTCCTATAATTTAGTCATCAGTTAAAAATTGTTGTTTGATTATTTTTCTTTTTTTACTTTATTATTTCAGTAGTTTTTGGGGTACACATGGTTTTTGGTAACATGGATGAACTGTATAGTGGTAAAGTCTGAGATTTTAGTGCACCTGTCACCCAAGTAGTGTATAACCAAATATGTGATTTTTTTATTCCTCCCTCCCCACCCTCTCTCCCTCTTCTGAGTCTCCAAAATCCATTACATCACTCTGTATGCCTTCGCATACCCGTATCTTAGCTCCCAATTATGAGTGAGAATATACAGTTTTTTGTGTTCTTTTCCTGAGTTACTTCACTTAGAATAATGGCCTACAGCTCCATCCAATTTGCTGCAAAATATACTATTTTGTTCTTTTTTATGACTGAATAGTATTCCATGGTGAATGTATAACACATTTTCTTTATCCACTCATTGGTCAATGGACACTTAGGTTGGTTCCATAGCTTCGCAATGGTGAATTGTGCTGCAAATAGTCATGCAGGTATCTTTTACATATATTTTTCTTAAAAATATATTTTTTCTTATTTTTCTTGGGGTAGATACCCAGTAGTGGGATTGCTGGGAAAAAAAATGGTAGTTCTGTTTTTAGTTCTTTAAGAAATCTCCATAATGTTTTCTTTGAGGTTGTACTAATTTATATTTCTACTAGCAGTATATGATCATTTCACCACATCTGCTCCAATATCTGTTGTTTTTTGACTTTTTAATAAAGGCCATTCTTGCAGAAGTAAGGTGGTATCTCATTGTGGTTTTAATTTACATTTCCCTGATGAGCATTTTTTCATGAGTTTTTGGCTATTTGTGTATCTTCTTTTGAAAAATGTCTGTTCATGCCTTTTGCCCACTTTTTAAGGAGATTATTTGCTTTTTTCTTTCTGATTTGTTTGAGTGCCTTGTAGGTTCTGGATATTAGTCATTTGTCAGATGCATAGGTTGGAAATATTTTCTCCCATTCTGTGGGTTGCCTGTTTTCTCTGATGATTATTTCTTTTGCTGCACAGAAGCTTTTCAGTTTAATTAGGTCCCATTTACTTATTTTTGTTTTAGTTGCATTTGACTTTGGGGTCTTCATCATGAATTCTTTGCCCAGGCCAATGTCCAGAAAAGTTAAAAGTTTTTCCTTGGTTATCTTCTAGAATTTTTATGGTTTCAGGTCTTGGATTTAAGTCTTTGTTCCATCTTTAGTTGATTTTTGTAATAAGGTAAGAGATAGGGAACTTGTTTCATTCTTCTATATGTGGCTTGCCAATTATCCCAGCACCGTTTATTAAATAGAATGTCATTTTCTCAATTTATATTTTTGTATGCGTTGTCAAAGATCAGTTGGTTGTAGGAGTTGGGTTTTATTTACAGGTTCTCTATTCTGTTCCATTGGTCTATGTGTCTACTTTTATACCAGAATCATGCTGTTTTGGTAATGATAGCTTTGTAGCATAATTTGAAGTCTGATAATGTGATGCCTCTAGATTTGTTCTTTTTGCTTAGGATTGCTTTGGCTACTTGTGCTCTTTGTTAGTTCTATATAAATTTTAGAATTGTTTTTCCTAATTCCGTGAGAAATGATGTTGGTTTTTGATAGACATTGCACTGATTTTGTAGATTGCTTTGGGCAATATGGTCATTTTCATGATGTTGATTTTCATTATTTTTCTTTTTCTACCAGTTTCTTTCTGGTATAATTCCTATTGTCTCACTATCTCTTTGTATATTTGTCTCTGAATTTGTACATTTCTGCTTGTCTCTTACTTCATTCCTTATTTTGTATCAATAATTTTTAAAAACTCGTGTAGGAATATTGGGTTACCATTCTCATCTAGTTTGTGTTATCACTTTTTATGCTGAGTTTTTGTTATTTGTAAGAAAAAAATGCTGCTTTATCATCTTTTTTTCTTATAATGTCTTAGAAAAGATGCTCTGTACTTTCTAGTTTTTAAATTCATATTTGAAAGAGGTGGATTTTCCTAGATTGGAAGGAGTAGTTTCCTGTGAGGTAGGAAGTGCCATGGTGGCTTACTGAAGCCACACCTCCTGGACTCCTGCTTCTCTTCCATAATGTTGGTCTCCATGGTTTCCATGAGGGGAGCTTTGAAGATTCAGAACTAAGCTGCCACCGTATTCCCAGGAGAACAAGAGTCCTGTTTATTAAATATGAAGGTCCCTCTGCATTCCCTTGGGTCTTCCACTTCTTTTTGCATAAAGCATGACAGACAGGTATGGCTGAGCCTTGCCATGGCCTCTGCCCCATCCCTAGCCCATCTTGCTCTCTTTCTAGTTAAAGATTTCTATTTTCTTAAATCAAATTGGAACTTCTCAGGGTTCTCCAAGGGGTTTTTGCTCCAACACCATGACAAGTGGTGGGGGAATGTGCCTTTGGTCATGGATGTCAGCTCTTGCTGGGTGCTCCTGAGTCTCTGGTCACTGGCGCTGCTCTCCTGGGCCTTGCCCGGGGTCCATCTCTAGCAAGGCTGGCTGCTGTCATTGAGCATATGTTCTTGTCCCTGACGGCTCACAGGTGTCTTTTTTTCCCCCCTGGAAGATTCCCTTTGCTTTCTGGACCCTGATTACTCTCCAGTTATTCCCCTGTCCATGCACACCTACGACAAGACTCTCATTTGCAAAAGCCAGGAAGGGCAGTTAACTGGCCCGCCACAGACATCCTCTTGGGCAAGCCAGCATGACGCCTGGCTGTGTGCTGGAACTGGAAACATAAAAGGGGAGAAAAAAACTATAAACTAACAGCAAAAATGGTTTTGTCACGTTCTTCTATTTATGTTCAGATTGTGTGTTTCAGTTTACAGATAGCTAATATACGTTATTAAATAATGTAAAAACATAACTGCATTATTTATTTAAAGTCTGTCATGCTCATCAAGTGGTTTAATCTTCATTCTAAGGATGGGGAAATGGTTTTGGAAAAGTCAGTTAGTTGCCTCCTGCATCCTCCAATACTGGAGAAAAGATCAGACGCTGCCTGTAGAAATCCAGAGTTGATAAAAGCTGCCCAGAGACAACACTGATATCAAAGGCAGCCAACAGGAAGTCACCACCCTTCGTGAGAAATCAGAGCTACCCAGGCGAAAGAGAGAAGGAACATTCTAGACAAAGGTGCAGCTCCAGATGTGAGAATTCAAAGAGCGAAAGAACAACCAACCAAAAAACAAACAAAGAAACAAATGAAAAACAAATGAAAACCAGTGCACAGTGTTGTCTTTAATAGTAAGAAGCTGGAAACTAAATGTTAGAGAAGTCATTGACTACATTCATTATTGTTCAATCATAGGATGGAATTCTATGCAGTATTTAACACAATGCTCTAAGAAAAATGTGGATCACATTGAAAAAGATCATACACATTACATTGTCACATCCTAAAGCATTTATGATTATATGCAGTATGATTCCAAGTAAGTGAATGCCTTATATGTGGAAAGAGAGAAAGAAAGAAAGAGGCGGCGGCAGAGGAGGCAAGGGTTGCAAAATCATGTGAAAAGTCACTTTACAAGGTGACTTTATCCTTTTTAATTTTTGATTGTATGTGCTTTTCTAAATGACTAAAAAGTAAATGTAAACTTATGCTCCTTCAATGTCTCATTCACTAGGATTTAAGGCAGGGATTTCCCTTGGAACCACAGCAGAGCCTCAGGTGTGGACCTTGCTGACGTCTTCCTACATGAGCAGAGTCTGCGGCTTGGAAAGCGTGGCCCCTCCTGCAGGTCCCAGGGCTGGCGACATCCTCCAGGAGTTGATGGCAGGCAGTACACACAGGTGCCAGGCTGAGCACCAGGGAGTGATGCTCCAAACGCCCGCACAACCTCTCCTGGGACTCTGGCCACAAAGAGAAAAACGTGGAATTTGGAACAAAAACCCAGTTTCCAAACCCAGCTCTGCTGTTGCTTTATTCTCTTGGGAAGTCAGCAGGCTTCCCTGAGCCCCATCTATAAAGTGGGCCTAATAATATCTGCCACTTCCTGTCTTAGATGTTACGCTTGATCCAACAAGCAAATGTACATGAAAGTGCTTTGTCAATCCCTATAGCAGACCCAATGTGATTGTTATCTCAATGTAGCTAAGTCTACAGTTCTCCTTTGGTCTTTCCACTAAATTGGCAGCTTTATGGGGTGACTAAGTCTCTGTCATGAGAGCTTTGTTGAGGGAGGCCTTGTGTGTTCTGCACCCAAATGCAGACCTTCACATTTGTCCCTGTAAATTAATACCGTGGTCATAGCCTACTTTAAGTGTCTCTCCAAGCTTTGTTCAGTTTGAAAATGTCATTAATTTTGCCACCAAATTTTTGCCTGGGTTATTCCTAAAATGTTGGCCCCTTCTGGGTCCAGGACAGAGTTCTCCTTGAGCCTCAGGTTAGCCATGGCTAACCTGAGATGATTATTCTGCTTGGGCCACAACCGTGTAACCAATTTCAAGTCAGTGCCGTTGCTTCTGGGGTCTTCCTCGCTGCCCCGCCCGCCTGTCTTGGTTCCTTTTTCTGCTTTACTCCTGTGGTTGTGACACTCACCAAGTGTGTGACGTGGAGGCTGATTGAGGTTTCTATTTTGCATCATCTTCAACTGCAAAATGGGGACTGATCCTGGCATCTGTTTCACATCAGCCAGTGGATTACCATGTTCATGACAGGTAAAGCCCCTATGCCAGGCTTCCTCAGCCTCTGCCCCATTGACACTTTGGGCCCGGTGATTCTCTGTGGCAGGGGCTGTCCTGCACCTTGCAGGAAGTTTAGTAGCATCCCTGGTCTCCATTCATTCACTGATGCCAGCAGCACCCTCTACACCCCTCCCCAGCTGAGAAAATCCAAACTGTCCCCAGACATGGCCAAGCTTGTCCAGGGGGACGAGACCTCCCTGGATGAGAAGCACTGACCTGGACAGCAAAGCACAGGTTTGTGCTGTGTGTGTGTTCGCTGCCGCCTGCGTGTCCCAGCTCTGTCCTGACGGCATGGAACACGGAGGTGTATCCTCCTCCCGGAGTTCTCAGGATGATTAGGACGCCCCACGTTCCCAGGCTTTCTGCGAGGCTGTCATGACTGCACAAACATCCTGCAAAGTTGCAGGTTTCAGCCCCCGCAGCACCCCGATCCATTGCCCCTCGGACCCTGCTCAGGGGCAATCCCACCCCTAATGAGGGCAGAGGAGGTGGAGGAGGCACTGGATATAAAGCTGCTGTGTAACACACAAAGCACTGTTCAGAAATCAGTGTTACTATCTCACCCTGGATGGCACAGAGTGGATTTAGGAGTAAAGACAAATTGCTTGGCTCTTACGACTCTGACCTCTGGATCATATTTGCTTCCCTGTGAACAATGCAGATTGTCCTCCTGCAAGCTGTTTACAGCTGAGAATAAGCAGAGGGCAAAGCAGCCTCCTTCAACCACGGCTGCTGCATCCTTAACCAATGTTAGCACCTTCCTCACAGAGCGCTGAGAAAGAAATTAGGCACTGGTTAAATTGTAAAGCACTGAACAAAGTATAGGCTGGTATACTGATAATGAGGCACAACTCTGTAGCTCTGGGGTTAGTTCTCAAAAAGCACCTTCAAACTTTCTGATTAATAATAGCACTGCCCCACTAAGAACTTAGCCTCCTTACCAGATGCACACTGGAGAAAGTGTGTTCAAAGGATTCACTATCGTTTGTTGGCTATGCCATGCATTATAGATCATGCCCCAACTGGTTTTAATACGACCTTATTTGCCTCTCCAAATTCTTTATAAATAAAGGATGATGCAGTTAAAAGAAGGAGTAACAATGAACCGTGCATCAGATGTGGGGTGAACAAGCAGGCCCAGGCCCCACTATGGGGTGATTCAACTCAAGAGAGTGGGAGGAGGATGGAAGGAAACAGGGAATGTGGCTTCTGCACCATCCCCTCCACAGCTCAGTGTCTGCCCCCATGCCATTCTAGTTTTGCAATTTCACTTGCATGAGTCTGTCTCTTTGTGTGATTTTGAAGCTGTTCTGTGGATACTATCATTGCAATATCTTCTTTCATTTCCCTCTCCGGAAATTAATAAGATTTGCTTCTTAAAAATAAACCTGAAAGAGTGAGACGAGATTGCGCCACTGCACTCCAGCCTGGGCGTCAGAGCGAGACTTCGTCTCAAAAAGAAAAAATAAAAATAAAAATAAAAAACCTGAAAGAAAGCAATTTTACATATGTGTTAAGTTACGCTCTAGATTTAGAGCTTGTTCCACACATTCCTGTTCTGAAAGGGTCCGGGGCACTGAAAACTCTTGGTTGTAGGGTTGAGGGTGTGGAGAAGGGACCTGCTGAGCTCTGAGGATGGTCTGTGGTTGGAAACCGGGGTCAGTGCTCACAGAAGCAGCCCCACATACCCCGTCCAGGTGGGTGCTTTGGCACCTTCTCCTGGGGAGAATGGGCTCCTTCCCCTCCCCTGGTGTTGGGGCTGGCCCTGAAGCTTGCTCAGGGGTGGGAGGGATGACGCTGGGTAACTTCCTCTTCAAATGCCTGGAGCTCCTGCTTTCCTGTCCTGGGAAGTGTCCTCTTGGAGGCCAGCACCTTTGTGAAGTCTGACTGCTGGGACCACCATGCTGGGAGGCAGCCCAAGTGCAACGCAGAGATGTGGGGGAGGGGGGATGTGTGTCCAGTTGCCCTGCGGTTCCACCCCTCTCAGCTTAGGCATGTGAGGGAAGGTATTCGCATCCTGGGGTGGCTGCAACAAATCACCATAAACTAGGTGGCTGAGAACAACAGGAATATCTCCTCTTGCTGTTCTGCAGTCCCGAGGTCTGGAATCAAGGTGCCAGCAGGTCCCACTCCCTCCAGAGGCCCTGGAGAGAATCTGTCTTTGTCTCCTGGTGGCTGCTGAGATTCCTTGGTTTGTGGCTGCATCCCCCAGTCTCTGCCTCCATCTTCAAGAACCTTGTCTGTCCTCTGTGGTGCTTCTGATCTCCCTCTGTCTCCTGTCTTATGGGGACACATGTGACTATACCTAGGACTCTACTGGATAGCCCAGGATCAGCAGCTCCTCTCAAGGTCCTTCCCTTCATTGCATTTTTCTGTACAACATAACAGACCCCAGCCCCAGGGCACCTCCTCCTCTGATTTCTGAGCTCCCACTGTCTGCACCAGTGGCTTGAAATGTTCTATGTATTTCCTGAAATGTATTTTGTATTATTTAATCTTCAGGTGTTGCTTTTGTGGGCACCACTGGGTTGCTTGCTCCCTGAGATCAAGGGCTATATCTCACGGGGCTAGTTCCTCGAAGACACGGGACACAGACTGACTCCAGCATCCGTCAAAGGTTCTTCCACCTCTGACACCAGTGAAGCAGAGACTTCCTTCCTTTCTCCTCTCACACAGCCTCTTTTCACCCAAAAGAGGTTTCTACTTCTCAGGTTTAGAGACAAGCTTAGGTTCCTCTCTTTGACACTGTCTATGGAATCATAAATGCCACCTGCCTCTCCTCTCAGCCTTCATCTTTCTGGATGAAAGAGTTTTGCCAGTTTTCCTCCCTCCCCACATGCATGCCCCTGGCTTAGGGTAACCCTTCCCTGTGATGCTGCGGACGTCATTCCCCCAGGGGTTAACCTCAACTTCATCTCAAATTTCTCTCCTGATTCAGTTAACTACTTGAGTCAGCCTTATACACTTAACAGTTAAATATAAGACTCTCATACAAATCTGGAATTAACACATGTCAGAGATTTGCTTAGCCCAGACTGAGAAGGGTCAAAATTGTACACCTGGTTCAAAGAGTGGCTGACAGAGTTTTGTTTTGTTTCATCAGCCTATATAGCACCTGTAAAGGAAGTCTACTAAGTTAGAGGCCAAAGTGACCAACATCCTACTAGGAACTAAAACCATGGCCTTGGGGGCCAGTAGTTTCAGTGATTTCATTCTCCACCAGACTGAAATCATTTGCATCTCTAGTGACAAAATATCTACAAATTAACATGTAACTTCACAAAAGTCTGGGCCCTAATCAATAGCAAATAGCAAGTCAAATGAAAGTCCAGTCCCCCCCAAAAGTAATGAAGCCAGCCTGGGGTGGACCTGAATGATGGGTGGGTTTTGGCTCTGTGGTGACTGCCAAACACTGGGTGATTTTTTTCCTTTTTTTTTTTTTTCTGAGATGAAGTCTCACTCTGTCACCCAGGCTGGAGTGCAGTGACGTGATCTCTGCTCACTGCAACCTCTGCCTCCCGGGTTCAAGTGATTCTCCTGCCTCAGCCTCCTGAGTAGCTGGGATTACAGGCATGCGCCACCATGCAGGGCTAAGTTTTGTGTCTTTAGTACGGACGGGGTATCACCATGTTGGCCAGGCTGGTCTGGAACTTCAGACCTCAGTGATCTACCTGCCTCAGCCTCCCAAAGTGCTGGGATTACAGACGTGAGCCACCATGCTCGGCCTGCGATTTTATTATACGTAGGATATGTGAGGTGAGCTAGATGGGTGCTGGATGAATTGACGGAGGACCCACCCTATGGACAGAGGGTCGGGATGGATCCTTTGTGAAATGTAGTTTTAAAGACTGGCAGGTTTCCGACCCCTGGCCCTGTGCCCTGGGCCTGGGCACCCACCCGTCCTCTGCACCCTGGGCCTCTCAGCAGCCCTGACTGCAGAGCTCTGCTCCCGGGCCTGGCCCCCGTGGCAAGTGGGAGAAAGGGAAGGGCCCAGGGCCACGAGGCGAGGCCACAGGTCAGCCCCCACCCCCGCACACCTGTAATATAAAATGCCCAGTTAGCCAAATTTAAAAAGTAACCAGAAGCAGGTGGAATGCATGTTAATAATGTCCTGTTTAATCCAGTGCCACCGGAACATTAGCATTTCCACATGTAATCAATTTAAAAAGTCTCAGTGACTGCTTCGCTTTCTTTTTTTTTTTTTTTTCCCCCTACTGTCTTCAAAACACGGTGTGCGTTTTAGTCGCCGCGTGTCTCCTTCGGAGGCTGAATGACAAGCCATTGCAGCAACATGTCGTCCTAGTGGAACAATGAAGGCCCATTTAAAGGAAAAATAACTAACATAGCTTCCATCTTTCAATCTACATTCATCAGAATAAAACATGAGGGGTTCAGCCGCCCTGGCCGCGTCCCAGGGGCGCACCAGTCCCGTGGCCGGAGCGTGGGAACCAGCGCGCGCCGCCGGGTGTGAGTGCCCCTCAGTGGCCACGCCTGGTAGTGCAGGGTCCCGCCCCGGGCTTTGAGATTTGAACACATTCCTGAAAGCAGATGTTTCTGTGAAGATTTGGGGGTGGGAGTGGGGGTGGGAGTGAAAGAATGCACAGAGAAGGAGAGTGGGAAGAAGAAGGGGTGTTGTGTATGCTCAGCTCCAGTTCACCAAATCGCTGCAGGGGGGTGATTGTCACAGACAAGGTGGCTTTAGCAACCATTTATTTCTTCGCGGTTCTGGACCCTGGAAGTCCGAGATCAAGTCGCAGTTCAAGATCAACAGGGCTGGTTTCTCCTGAGGCCTCTCTTTCTGGTTTTCCCATGACTGCCTTTATATGTCAGAGAGAGAGAAAGAGAGACAGAGAGAAGCGCGGTGGCTCAAGCCTGTAATCCCAGCACTTTGGGAGGCCGAGACGGGTGGATCACGAGGTCAGGAGATCGAGACCATCCTGGCGAACATGGTGAAACCCCGTCTCTACTAAAAAATACAAAAAAACTAGCCGGGCGAGGTGGCGGCGCCTGTAGTCCCAGCTACTCGGGAGGCTGAGGCAGGAGAATGGCGTGAACCCGGGAGGCGGAGCTTGCAGTGAGCTGAGATCCGGCCACTGCACTCCAGCCCGGGAGACAGAGCGAGACTCCGTCTCAAAAAACAAACAAAGAAACAGAGAGAGCTTTTCATCTTCTTCTAAGGCCACAGTTTTACTGGGTTGGGGTCCCACCCTTCTGACCTCATTTAGCCTTAATCACCTCCTTAGAGGCCCCATCTCCAGGTACAGTGACATTGGGGGTTAGAGCTTCAACTATAAATTTGGTGGGGACATAACTCTGTCCATAACAGCAGTAGTTACCACATTCTACAGCTAATCAACTGAGGCACAGAAAGGCTAAGACTCGCCCAAGATCACACAGAGCCAGGGTCTGTCCCAGGGGAGCTGGCTCCAGAGCCCGGGTTTCTCCCTTGTGTGTCCTCAGCCTTTTCCTGTTCTTTAGTCCCCCCACGCCCCTACCCCAAACCCACATTCTCAGAAGCCTCAGCCTCACATCTCTGTTTCACCAAATCAGACCCCTCCTTTCCCTTCAAGCTTGGATTTCTTCCCCATTAGGCTGGGGAGCAAAGTGTAAAACTTTATTATGGGCTTTGACTAGTCCTGGTTTTTACAAAGCGGGTTCACTCTCACAGGCTTGAGTGTGTCACAGTCAGGTGACTGGAAGTTAGCTGGCAGTGTCGATTCTGGGCATGTTATGCGTGAGCTCGCTGACATTTCTGCAGAACGCCCCTCGCTGGGCTGTGTGTAGTGTGCGGGCCGTGTCTGAGGGGGATGTGCTGTCATAGACCCAGCACAGGGTCTGCCCAGCTCAGAAAGGTCTGCTGCAATTTGATTTTTAAATGTAAACGCATTTTCACTGCAAACGTTCACTCACTGGTTCGAATGTGTGAACTACATTTGTTGTCACTCTAAAGTTTAGGAAGAGGATGTGTAAAATCTGAAGGTGAAGCTGGCAGTGGGCCTTCAAAAAGTGGATAGAAGCGGATTCACTTTTGTTCAACTTGCCAGGCAGAGGCTCCTTCACGCTCTCATGCCTGGAATATGAGATGATACAGAAATAGTAAGTTGCTTACAAACTGGTGATACTTACTGGCCTTGCAATGAAACAAATTCTTCGATGATGCAATATCAACCCTGGATTATCCCTAGAACAGTTAGGGCAGGACTTGTTGGAAATGAAAAATTTCAGGCCCCAGCCCAGAGCTACTGAGTTAGAACCTCGGGGCGGCCCAGCAGTTGGTGTTCAGGGCTCTGACGCATGTTCGAGGTTGAGAACCACTTCCCTAGAGATCAAGTCCTGTTCCCAGCAGTCTAATGCAACTCGGCGTTGTTACCTTAATGCGGCCTCTCCACATTGCAGCTGG